CACCTTCCCCACATCTCCAGGTGGTCACCTCTCAGGGTCCAGAGATTAAATCACTGGCCACTGGCAAATGATTCAACATCCAGGCCCTCTTTTCTCCATAGAGATCAGGGAGGGGAGGGGACAGGAAGGTCCAACCCTCTAATCACAGGTTTGGCTCTACTGGCACCAAAAGTCACCTCTTTAGCATAACAAAAGACACCTTTATCACTCTCCACACTTAGGAAATTCCAAGGGTTTTGGGAGCTGTGAGCCAGGAACTGTGGACCAACACCAAATATCTATGAGAGCTATATTTTAGTCCTCTGGATGGCCAGGTATATATCTGTTATAAATCACACTAGCGCAGTCTTTCTGCATGAAGTGCTCTCCCACATGGAGGACCATAATGATTGCCATAATTCCCACATTGCCATTCTGGAAAGGCCAAAGAGGTAGAACAGGTACGGGAAAATACCTAAGCCATGGCACTACGAAGCGTATAGTCTGACACAGTAACATAATAGGTGTATAACTCCGGGCAAGCTATTGACCCTTTCTGAGCCCTTTTGCTCGCTGCAGGAGGCAGACGTCGCTTGGCAGGGCTGCACACACTGGAACATGGTAGAGGTCCTGGCGAAGTCCTCGGCACAAATGAGATGTTCTTTTACGAAAGTCATTATCATTGCCATCTAAATACTCCTTGTACTATGCCCCATACCCTCTCACAACCACCCCCCTCTCGAGAAATGGCCAACTGTCCTGTGCTTTCAGTGCAAACTGTCATTTTATTCTCTCTCCTAGGCATAACTTTTTTCTAGTGTCCATGTCTGTTGCTCCCACTTGCTGTCTTTGTCATTCACTATTCCCCTCTTTTGTTTTTTTCTCTCTTCCTTCAAATTTCCTCTATAAGTCTAGGCTTCAGTGCTGATGTGGTTGCCTTTCATGACTTTTATAAGACACTGAAATGGCTCTATCCCTCTGAACATCAAAGCAAGAAACCATTAAGGGCCAAGAGCCATCTTGGCCCCAGTCCAATTAGTGTTTTGGTTTGATGGCTTTAATGCTGGATGCTCTAGGTCAGCATTTCTTCTTTCCTAATGGATACACTTTTAATTGTCTTCCCCCCTTCATCTCTGGGTCCCCTACCATTCCGGATGTAGAGGATTGCTGGAATTGTGGCCTCTGGGATAACTGTGGTGCTTCTGCAAGACACCAGGGCTGCCTCTCACAGGAGGATGCCCTTGAATAGCAACAGCATTTCCTTTAGTCACAAGGGAAGAAAAATAGTCCAAGCAATTTGAAGTTGTATATTATCCACATTTTTCTTGTTTCCCTTTTAATAGAACGTTCTACATATTACTTAACTTGGCTGCTGTTTGATAGGAGTAACCATTTTCTTTATTTTAAAAGAAAATTCTTCCTCTGAGTTCATGCCATAGTTTCACTTCTTTTCCTGGGTTTGGAGAAGGACTGTGCCACCAGATCTAAAACAGCCGATGGGTGACCAGGTAGCAGCTCCCAGAGGCAGGTGTTAAGGTCCTCTGTGAAATTCCCTAGCAACTCCTGCCCTGTTCCTGATGCACGCTGGTGAAGAGGGTCCAGCCGTAGCTTTGATCACTCCGGAGAGATAAAACTTCAAGTCTATCCATATGATAAAGATGGGGTAATAGAGCAGCTAAAAATTCTTATACAATTAAGAAAGTCTTTCGGTACTGAAGATAGTCATCTGTGGAGAAGATTTGAGGACTTACCCAAATACTGGTGTAAGGGATTACAATTGAACCTTGAAAAATGCAGGAGTTAGGGGCACCTCCCCATCCCCCATTTCCTGCTCAATCGAAAATCCAAGTGTAGCCCTGGCCAGTTTGGCTCAGCGGTTAGAACGTCCGCCTGCGGTCTCCGGGTTCGGTTTCCGCTAAGGGCACGTACCTCGGTTGCAGTTTGTCCCCGGCCCTGGTTGGTCATGCGGGTGGCAGCCACTCGATGTGTCCCTTTCACATCGATGTTTCCCTCTCTCTCTCTTCCTCTCGCTCCCTCCCATTCTGTCTGTACAAAAAATGGAAAAATGTCCTCGGGTGAGGATAAAAAAAAAAAAGAAAGAAAGAAAGAAAATCCAAGTATAAATTCTGAGTCCACCAAAACTTAACTTCTAACAGCCTCCTGTTGACCAGAAGCCTCATCAATAACATAAGCAATTAATACATATCTCAGAAGCCTCATCAATAACATAAGCAATTAATACATATCTTGTATGTTACATGTTTACATACTATTTCCTACAATAAAATGAGATAGAAAAAAGAAAATGTTATTTAAAAAATTATAAGGATTTTTTTAAAAAGTACGCATTTATTGAAAAGAGTCTGTGTACAAGTGGACCTGTGCAATTCAAACCATGTTGTTCGAAGGTCAACTATATTTATTCAGGTAATAATTTAAAACAAAACAAAACATAATACCATCTTTATACATACAGAAGCCTTCCACTTTGTAACCTCTTTGTGTCCAGGGGTGACTTTACCCACCTATTAGTGGCAGTTGGCTTGGAGCCACACTGTCCTGGCTCCACTACAAGCTCACTGGAAAGAAGGCACATCTTTCTGGGCAATGTGTTTGGCATCACCTGAGCCAGCACAGGCTTTGTTCAAGCTGCTGCTCATGTCAGCAGAAAGCCCTCCCTTAGCTCTTTACTTAATAGCTGCCTTTCTTGCTGCCTTGAAAAACCGCATCACAGGCAAGAAAGTGGCACAGAGAACAAAGCCCAATCTCTTTCCCTTGGACAAATATTCCTTTTGTAATGTTCCTTTGCTCCCAGACTTACTACCCTACATTTACCTTCTCTGAGCTGAATTGCTCTGTTTTAACCTAGTTACATAAAGGATCAAAGCCCTCCGCAAATACTGCTCATCTTTCTAGAATCTCCATCCCGCTCAGGAGCCTTTCTATCCTTTTTATAAAAGAGGGGTTACCATGTGAAAATTCTTCGTTTCCTTTAATGCCTCACTCATTTTAATGTAAACATAACATCAATTTTCTGCTAATTACAATTCATCAACAATGTAAGGAATTTAACTGTAAGCATTTTCTTTTTGGACAAATAGACTGTGCCTTCTTAAGCTCAGTACAAGTGACCCTTTGCACCAGATAATTCTTTGTCATGGGAGGTGGTCGTGTGCTTTGTAGGACTTCCAGGATCAGCCCTGGCCCTGCCCACTAGATGTACACACACACACACACACACACACGTGACAATAAAAAAAAATGTCCCCAAACATTGCTATATGTTCCCTTTGGGGGGAAATCACCCTGAGCTTGAGAACCCCTGATGAACCCTGAGCTTGCAGATTAACTATTAACCTTTTCCTCTATGAAAATGTAGCAGGCAGAAGCACTATTTTTTCCTGCGATGGGTTACCCAAGGCTTAGGCTTTAGACAGCTTTTTTTCTTCATCCATAATTTCTTACCAAGTGGACTCATCCAGGTTTGTGGTTTTACATACCATCTTACATGTTAATGACTCAAAATGTTTACCTTTCTCCTGACCTCCAGCTTATGTCTTTATTAGGATCTTTAACAGGCATTTCAATATGTCCTACCCTTCCCCACAACCTACTCTTCTTACACTTTTCTCCAGCTCAGTAAATAGCAACTCCATTCTTTCAGTTGGTCTGGCTAAAATTTGTGGAGTCGTCCTTGACGCCTCTCTTTCTCTCACACCCTCTATCCAATCTGTCACAAATCCTGTTAGTCCCACCTTCAAGTTGTATCCAAAATTCAACAACATCTCAGCACCTCCACTGCTACGATCCTGGACCAAACCCAAACCATCTCTCCAAAGTATTATTTAATAATCTCCTAATTGGTCTCCCTACTTCCTCCCTGCCCTATAGTCTATTCTCAACATTACCCCTCTTGGAGACCTTCCGTATGTTTGTTCACTAAATGCCTTTAAAAATCGTTGCCATTGAACCCTAGCACTCCTGGCTGGTGTGGCTCGGTTGGGTGGAGCATCATACCATATATTGAAAAGGTGGCAGGTTTGATCCCCAGTGCCCTGGGAGGCTACCAATCAACGTCTCTCTCTCAAAGAAAAATCAATAAAATTTTGCCCTGGCAGGTTTGCTCAGCGGTTAGAGCATCGGCCTGCGGACCAAAGGGTCATAGGTTTGGTTCCTGCTCAAGGGCACCTCCTCATGAGAAGCAGCCAATCATGTCTCACATGGATGTTTATCTCTCCCTCTTTCTCTTCCACTCTATCTAGAAAATCAGTGGAAAAATATCCTCAGGAGAGGATTAAAAAAATAAGTAAATTTGAAAAAGAAAAAGAAAAACTTTTACCATTGATTGTTGATGGAATCAAGACATTGCCTGAGACAGAGCCTGACCAACTTTTGAGGGTTAGGGGATTCTTCTTCAGCACTTGAGGTGCTAGGAAGTTGTGATTTCATCCTGGGATTGTTTTCATTCTCTAGTCCATTACGTTGACGTCCAAAGTCCTACCAATATTTTTGTCATTACTAATTAATTTCTCCCCTTCAGAGCTCTTGCCTTGTATGTCTGTTTAAATTTTTATAGTTTGCCCATTGTTAGGTAGGTTTCCTTATCTGTTCCTCAACCAGACCCAGAGTTCCTAAAAGGCAAGATTTGGGAGCAATCTGCCTTAGCCTTCCTCCTCCTCCAAACACACACCCGCCCTCCGCGACCCCCCCCCCCCCCCCAACTGAGATCCTTTTAAAAGTTTGGTGCAGTTCAGTTAAATGGAGTTTAGCAAACAACTGAGTGCCTGGTATGTCCCAAGCACGGTGTCTGCCAGGAGCAGTGCAATGCCCAAAGGGCCGCCACCGAAACCAGCAGGGTGGACGCCAGGACAGAGGGTCGGGAAAACCAAGGAAGAGATTGAGGAGAAGGAGGAGGGAGAGGAGGAGGGGGGCGGAGAGGAAAGAGAAGGGAGGGGAGAGGAGGGAGGAGGCGGCGGAAGGCGGGGAAGGGGAGGGAAGAGGCCAGAAGGGCGGAGCTTCAGGCGGCGCCAGGGCCCTGTCGGATCGGCGGCCGCATGGCTTCGGCCTCCTCCGCGGCTCTCTCGGGCCTCGGGGCCCGCAACCTGCTGCAGTTCTTGCGGCTGGTGGGGCAGCTCAAGGTGAGCGGGGCTGGTGGGCTTCTGTGGCCGGGCGGGCCGCGGGGAGAGGCCGGGACGGCTGCGGGCAACGAGGCTCCCCGCCCTGCGCCGGGCCGGGCCTCCAGCGCCCCCACTGCGGGCCGCGGGCCTCGGGCCTCGGGCGAGAAACACGCCCCGGCGGCGGGCGGCGGGCGGGGCGGCGGGCGGCGGGCGGACCCGGCCAGGACGATCCAAGCCGCGGGGTGCTGCGTGTCGGGACAGGAGCAAGGGCCCGGCCGGGGCGACCCCAGGCAGCCACCCCGGAGGTTTCAGGGGGCCGCCGGCGCGGTCACGGGGACCCTTCGCCCTGGTCTGCGTCTGCCCTGCGTCTGCACTGAGTACTTGTGCACTTGGAGCTCAGGACCCCACAACTGGACTGGTGGGATGGGCTTCTGAGCACCCCTGCGTCCCCCAGATTTTCAGTGGTGCGCTCCGTACCTGTCCCACAGTTACTTGCAGAAATAACAAGCCTTTCTATTTTTTTTTAAACTTATCATTATTGTTGAATGTATTACAGATGTTCCTCCTCCCCTCCACCCCCTTTGACCTCCTCTTCCCCACTCCCACCCTCCTCCTGCCTTCCCCACGCTGTTGTCTGTGTCTCTTGGTTATGCATATAGGCATATACAGTAAATTCTTTGGTTTCTCTCTTCCCCACCTCCCTGCTTCCCTTTGAGGTTCCTCAGTCTAACAACCAATTTTTACTCCTTGATCCCATCTTTATCACCCTCCCCTCAACACCCCCCCACCTCTGGCAGCCATCAAAAAGTTCTCTATCTATGAGTCTGTTTCTCTTCTGCTTGCTCAGTTTGTAGATTCAGTTGTTGACAGATATGTATTTATTGCCATTTTATTGTTCATATATTTTTGTCTTCTCCAAGAAGACCTGTCAACATTTCATATAATACTGTTTTGGTGGTGATGAACTCTTTTAGCTTTTTCTTGTCTGGGAAACTTTAAATGGCCATCGATTCTAAATGATAGCTTTGCAGGATAGAGTAATCTTGATTGTAGGTTGTTGCTTTTCATCACTTTAAACATTTCTTACCACTCCCTTCTGGCCTGCAAAGTTTCTTTTGAGAAATCCGCTGACAGTCTTATGGGAGCTCCTTTGTAGGTAACTGCTTCTTTTCTCTCACTGCTTTTAAGATTCTTTGTCTTTAGTCTTTTGCATTTTGATGATGATGTACCTTGGTGTGGACCTCTTTGGGTTCATCTGGTTTGGGACTCTCTGTGCTTCGTGGATTTGTATGTCTGTTTCTGTCACCAAGTTAGGGATGTTTTCTGTCATTATTTTTTCAAATAGGTTTTCAATTTCTTGCTCTCTCTCTTCTCCTTTTGGCACTCCCATGATGTGAATGTAGGTATGCTTGAAGTTGTCCCACAGGCTCCTTATGCTATCCTCATTTTTTTGGATTCTTTTTTCTTTTTGCTGTTCTGATTGGGTGTTTTTTGGTTCCTTATATTCCAAATCGATGGTTTGCTTCTTGGCTTCACCTACTCCTAATAATTCCATGTAAATTATTCTTTCAGTTAGTGCATCCTTCATTTCTGACTGGTCTTTTACTATGCACTTGAGGTCCTCACTAAGTTCCTTGACTTTCTCACAAAGTTCCCTGAAATTCTCACTAAGTTCATTGAGTGTACTTATAAGCAGTGTTTTGAACTCTGCATCTGTTAGATTGCTTATCTCCATTTCATTTAGTTCTTTTCCTGGAGTTTTGTTCTGTTCTTTTATTTGAGACATGTGTCTTTGTCTCCTCGTTTTGGCTGCCTCCCTGTGTTTGTTTCTATGTATTAGGTAAAGTTGCTATGTCTCCTAGGCTTCCTAGGGTGGCCTGTTGTAGTAGGTGTTCTATAGGGTCTAGTGGCCCAGCCTCCCTGGTTACCCTGTTGGACCCTCAAGGTGCACCCCTCATGTGGACTTTACACCCTTTGTTATAATTGAGTCTTGATTGCTGTTGGCATGTCGATGGGAGGGTTTTACTCAGGCTGATCAGCTGCAAGGACTGGCTGTGCCCACTATCTACCGAACCTCTGATTACCTTGGATGATCAGCTGTGCAGGGGCCCAGCACACAGAGCAATATTTACTTCAGCAGGGCTCTGCTACCTACTGAGTCCATTCCTTGAGTGTGTCACTTGTGGAGGTGGTTGAGTGGTGGTGCTTCAACATGGTCTGAAGCTGTCCACTGGGTGTGCTGCTCTGGAGCAAAGTCAGCCCCTGCCTGTGTTCTATCCGGGGCCACCAGACATCAGCTACAAAGTGATTTGCCAATGGCTGCTGCTTGTGCTGGGCTAGGAGGTGTCCAGGCAAAGCCAAGCTGTGAACCAAGGCTGACTGCTTCTAGTGCCAGGCCTGGGGCCACTTAGCAAGAGGAATGGGGCTCTCTGTGGCCAGATGCTGCTGCTTTGAGGGAATTTAGGAAAATCTGAAACAGGCCAATCCTGTGGTAAAGCCTTTGGAAACAGCTTGGGTGGGCCTGAATGGGTGGGGTAGGCCCCCAGGTATCACCAAGGTGGGATAAACAGTGTGAGCCAGGTTGCTGGAATCCCAGATACAGTGCCCAGCTGTCAGCCTCTTGGGGGCAGGGTTCACCAAAGGAACAACGACCTCTAGGCCTCTGCCATCACGTTCATCTGGGATAAAGTCTCCTCTCCAGCCCTCGCACCAATGCCAAATAACTCAGTTCTTTCCCTTATGTCTCTGGTGCCTTTCAAACTGTCTCCCCTCCACGCTGGAGCTCAGAGGGAGCAGGTCTGAGTAAGTCCATGCGTGGGCCCTTTAAGAGGAGCTGCCTGGGGTGCCAGCTGCCTCAGCCTCCGTCAGCCTCAGTTCCTGCTGGTTTTACAGCCAGAAGTGAGAGGGACTTCTCTTCCTGGCACTGGAACCCTGAGCTGGGGGCCTGGTGTGGGACGGGGACCCTTCAGTCCTCACGGAGGACCTTCCCAGTCGAGGTGTCCTCCTGATTTTTATCCGCCCCTCCTACCAGTCTCGATGTGGCTGCTGCTTCAATTCCGTAGTTGTAGGACTTCCATTCAGCTCGATTTCAGGCGGTTCTGAATGATGGTTGTTCTGTAGTTTAGTTGTAATTTTGATGTGGTTGTGGGAGGAGGCAATACTGCGTTTACCTACCCGCCATCCTGACCGGAAGTCCAGCCTTTCTAGTTTTACAGAGGGTTTTGTGCCCCTCCCTGCCGCTTCATTAGGGATTTTACTGAATTTCTCCAAGTTCAGTTTCCAAGTTTATCTGTTTCCTGCCACTACTGCTACAGTTTCTACCATTCTTGAGTGATATAGACTTTTGAGGAGGAAATACAACCTCATAAGATGACATCATGATATGAATAAAAGGAAGAATGATCAGGAACACCTTTATCTCTTCTATTTCAGAATTTGGAAGTTCAAGTTCAGAGCTTTCACCAGTGATTTTTACTTTGTCTGTGTAATGGGGTTGTCGGAAGGCAAACTTTCCCAAGTCTTGTAGTTATGAAAAATAGGTTACTTTACACTTTTAGTTTTTTTTTTTTTTTTTTTTTTCAATCCTCACCTGAGGACATTTTTCCATTTTTTTTTGTTCAGGTAGAGCGGGAGGGAGAGAGAGGAAGAGAGAGAGAGAGAGAGAGAAACATCGACGTGAAAGGGACACATCGAGTGGCTGCCACCCGCACGACCAACCAGGGCCGGGGACAAACTGCAACCGAGGTACGCGCCCTTAGCGGAAACCGAACCCGGGTCTCTCAGGACCACAGGCCGACGCTCTAACCGCTGAGCCAAACCGGCCAGGGCTACACTTTTAGTTTTATGTCTCAAGGACATGTATGTATTCTGTATGCATACCTCAGTAACACAGAGTAACTTGATCATTAGACTATTGTATACTTGTGAATTATTGCCCCACTCCTTTCTCATTCTCTCACTGGCTTATTTGATTCCTGATCTCAATCATTTTGATTAAATATTTTTTAACATATTCTGAAACCATAACCCTGTTTCTGTGCTCTATTCCCTGGACTTCTCTTCAACAGCATAGCAAATAGTTAAAATATTTATTTTTATAAACTTTCTCTTCATTTTTATCAGAGAGTCCCACGGACTGGCTGGGTGTACAGAAATGTCGAGAAGCCAGAGAGTGTATCAGATCACATGTACAGGATGGCAGTTATGGCTTTGGTGACCAGAGATGATCATCTGAACAAAGACCGGTAAGCTGTGAACGTGGGTGCTTCTTAGGTCTCTGCTCTATGGTTATTCACCCCTCTTCACGACTGAGGCCTGTGTCACGTTCTTGTAGGTCAGTTTACACATCAAGAAAAGTTATTGGAGGCAATCCACACAGATTCAGGATGTGGGGCGGGGAACTGTGTGTGTTGATTGTTTCAGGGGTTAATTGCACTCTGGGTTTTCTCTTGGCAAGTGAAGAGCATGCCTTGGACGTCAGGAAACCTAAGTGTGGTATCAGGGTTTCCAGGGCCTTTGGAGTGAGTGTGTTATGTCTAACACTATCATTGTATTAGTATACTATGTTTTATCTAGCCCCTTTTAGTAAGGTGACTCTTTGGAGTGCTATATGCAAGATGTAACAGAGAGATATTCTCTCTTCTTTCAGTCCCTCAGCACAGAACAAAATTTCTTAACATTGTAAGACATGAATTAAATACCTCATGTTGCCATCTAACTAGTATATTAGGGAAAAGATTGTTTCTGAATTTTATATCAGTAAATAAATGCTATAACCAGATCATCTGGCTTGCATTTATTTATTTATTTATTTATTTATTTATTTATTTATTTATTTATTTATTTTTGGTATATGCCTCTAGCGGGAACCAAACCTGGGACTCTCTGGTCCGCAGGCCGATGCTCCAACCGCTGAGCCAAACCGGCCAGGGCTATTTATTTATTTTAAAATAGAAGCTAACAATTTCCACTGCACTGTCATGTATTGTGTTGAATATTGACATGCAGTTTTGATTCAGAAGTATTGAAGGTTGGCATAATATAGTTACTTAGGAAATACTGCATTAAAATACTTTGTGAAGGTGGAGAAAGAAAATTACGTTATGTAACTTCAAAATAGTATAGAGGAACAGTTTGTAGTGAATATAATTTTGTGTAATTATTCATCGTTTCTTGCCTGGTCAGATGTGTACGCCTAGCCCTGGTTCACGATATGGCAGAATGCATCGTTGGGGACATAGCACCCGCAGATAACATCCCCAAAGAAGAAAAACATAGACGAGAAGAGGTCAGTGTTGACTCTTGACTCCACGAGAGGCCACCAGAAAAACCTGTTACTGAAGCAAAGCTAAGTTTATTAGACCTGTTGGAGTAAGGGAGTGCACCACTTTGACAGAGTCTTAGTGTTTCAGGAAGGGAAGGGGGACGTCAGGGGAGGATATTTATAGAGTCTCAGAGGCTGGGCTGAAAGGTGTTTAAATGAATCTCACAAGATGGGCAGCTGGTTGAGACTGCACAGAGTTTGGACAAAATAGCCTTGGTTTGGTGGCACTGGTGAGGCAAAATCTTAAAGACACTCTTGAAGAGTAAGCTATTAGTGTTTACTCTATTTTGGGTGGTTTACAGTCTTAGCTTCCAGAAGAAAGGATTTCCCCGGAGTTAAGAGCCAGCTGGTTTCTGCTTGTTCTCAATCTTGTTTCACACAAGAACAGGAAAGTGCCTGCGCTCAGCCTTGTTTAACACGAGAACTGCAAACTATGTTGGTTTTCATTGTCATTAGTATGTGGACATAGATAGCATGGCTTTCATTATAACAATGGAGTTAGCTGGAACTTGAAGGAATTTTCCATGTGAATCAAGCTCTTTGAAAAGAAGTTCTGTACATTACAAGTGTAATCATTTATATAATATGTGTTGGATTTTTCACTAGTCCTTTAATTTAGTGGTTAGAAGTAGAGAAATATTGGTATTAGTAAGAAATGAACAACATTTATAAAATATGAAATCAATATCAATTTGGGCTCTAAGCCCAGAGGCCAGGGCCGAAGAGGAAGACATTTAAAGCGGAGGCTGCAGAATTCAGTGAGGCTTTTTTTGTAATCAATGGCTGGTTCTCAATTCAGGGATCATTGCAAGCTACTTTTACTGTAGGCCAGAGATTCTAAATTGCTATGTGGACAGGTCCTTTGTCAAGATGGTTTAACAGGGCAGGTGGCCTTAAATAGCTATTCTCAGAGCTGAGGGGAGACTAACTTATTAGCCAATAGCATTTTTGCTTCTCTACAGGCAAGAAAATCCACAAGGAATCCCAATTTAGTAGTCCCAACACATCCTAAGTTATGGGAACAAGAGGAATATTGTAAGGAATGTATTCTTCCTGCCAAATTATGAGTTTAGAATACAAGCTCAGCATCATGACAGCCTACAGAAAAGAAGGAAGCTAAGGAAATGCTTCTCTATAGTAGTAGACTGTCATCAAGGGGTGATTACGGTGTAAGGTATATACACGTCTAATAACTATTGTACACCTGAAATTAATATAATGTTCTCTGTCAGCTATAATTGAAAAATAAATTTTAAAATAGTCTAAAAAAAGATGAAAAGAAAAGGTATTCTTCAAACAAAAAACAATTTCTAAGTTGATTGACAGAATTAATTTCAAAAGAAACCAATTAGCTCAAGATACTGAGTTACAGAAAGGAATTAGCTCCAACCAGAGGATGTTGAGTAATGACATGACAGAGGGAACAAGAAGGGGGAAACCTCAATTGTACAGCTCATTTGGGATATACGATTGTTTTATTCAAGGGTACATGTGGATGTTATGGACAAGAAATCATAGACCTAAAAGTGACAGGAAGAAGAAAAGACAAAGTGTCCCTACGCAGGTACACAGTGAATTTGAGGGTCACTCCATAAGGGAACAAGTCAGACCCTTCTGAAGAAGAAGCACAGTCCAGAGGAAGGATCTCCAGCCACTGGAGGTGAGAGAAGACCTAGTGCTGCCCTGACAGGAGCTGAGTCCTGCCTCCCCGGAAGGGCATAGAGTGGACCTGAACCATCAGAGAGTAGTGCTGTGACTCTGTATCTCGACAATGAGGAAAAACCTTTCCAACCTCATTAAACCTCTTGCCTGCCGCCCACTTCTTCTGATTCATAAGAGAATGAATAGCATAATCAGAAGGGACAAGGGAAGCATGTTAGAGAACCACAGGTTCTTGGACAAGAAACCAAAGGCTTGGACAGCGCTGATACTCCATTGCCTCTTCCTGCTGCTGGCAAGGATTTGGGAACAGAGAGGAGGACTGGGAGATGAACCGTTCGTTATGCAGATGGTATTCATGAGTAAGATGTGGATGTCTGGACCGTGCATTCGGATAATTAAATGAGGGTTTCTTGGCTCGAGGTGGAATGCACATAATGAGAAGCAGGGAGCATCATTTGCTCAGAGGCGGCTGCATCGGCAAGGCTTTAAACTGAAGGAGGAGGGAGGGAAAATACTTGATAAGCCTGGAAGGCTGACTGTTTTGAAGGAGAGCAAGTCTTTGGGTGAAAGGGAGGATGAGGGCATGGAAGAGAAAATTTAGGGACCAAGAGCAAAGCTTATAGTCCAACCCCTTCCTAAGCAGGATAAAATATACTTTATATTATTTCCCAAGTTGCTAGGGGAAGCCTGGCAGGGACCATCAAGAACTAGGGATGGAACTTGAGGCTGGAGCATATACATGGAGGTTATAGTCCTTTGTAGAGGCAAAAACTTAGTGGGACAGAAGGAGAGTCATGGTATATATGTATCTGCGAGGCTTCAAGTTGCTGAAGAACTGAGAGGTTAAGAGAAGAACCAAACTTTATTATGGGAGTGAACATGGCAAGATGGAGAAAATGAGAAATATAGTGAAAATTTCATAGAGTGCTTAGTATGTGCCAGGTAATAAACACTTTATATCAGAAACCACACAGCTAGGTACCATTAGAATCCTTTCAGCTATGAGAAACCTGAGGGACAAAGAGGTTAAGCAACTTGCTCAGGGATCCACAACTAGTAAATGACCAGCCAGTTTCAAACCCCATGAGCTGATAGCTTGTAGTGAACTGAGGCACTGTTCAGCTCACCGGTGACATGTGAATGATGAATAGTACTTTCTCGGTGCTTGTCACAAAACTGACACAAGACGGTTGCTGAAAGCTTCCTTGTTCAGAACTTTAGGCAGATTCTTCCTATTGCTTTGCTAATAGGAAGAGGCAAGGGAAATTATCTCGAAATCTGTGTGTGAACAAGGAGAAAAAAGTATGGAAGTGGGAATGGCAGGGCTCACCATCAGGAGGCAAAGTCTGGCATCTTCAGCCACGCAAGCTAGACCTTTGTGGAGTTGATTTCCGAGGGTTCATTGAAAAAGGGCATGATTCTGGGCCATGTGCTGCCAGACAGGGACTATCGACTACCTAAGAGGCCTCAAAATGTAATTTTGCTTGTATAATAACAAATTACATCTATGAGTTTAGACCCAGAAAATCATTGCTCTATTTCAGGAAGAGAGCAACAATGTACTTGTTTATGTTATGTTTTTTAATGGACATGGAGATTTTAGACAATAGGAAGCTTATTAATAAGTCAGTAATTGGCCCTGGCCGGTTTGGCTCAGCAGTTACACTGTTGACCCAATGAGTCTTGAGTTTGATTTCAGTCAAGGGCACATACCTTGGTTGCGGTGTGGGAGGCAGCCAATCGATGTGTTCCTCTCACATCGATGTTTCTTTCTCTCTCCCTCTCTCCCACTCTATCTGAAGATAAATGAAAAAATATCCAGTGAAGATTTTTTTTTAAAGTCAGTAATTGGATGTGTTCTCCAAAAAGCCAGTTTATAGAAACGCAGGAAGCTGTGGTTCCACCATTGGTCAGACCACACACATCAGGAACACATTCAGGTCTGGGTGCATCACTTTAAACGGAATAAGATAACCACTTTGTCAAAGTGGGACTTTTATGTTTGTATTCTAAAAGTTTAGATTTTGATATGCCTGTTTATATGTTATTCAGTTCATTTGAAACAAAGTCAATAGGCAAACTTGTGTTTCTGGAATAGTGGAAAGATGAACTATTTATAGAGACCTTTAATTTTTGAAAATGCAAAGTATTTTCTCTAGTATTTTGCTGAGATTTATGAAAAGGAGACAAGGGAGAATGCAGGTACAAAATAATCTAAATTTTATACCTACAAGGGGGGGCGGTACGAGGCTACAAGCCATTCAAGATGGTGATGTTACTATGTATAAGAACAGATTGTGGACACTGGCAAATATGTTTTGCTCTAAAGGAGGTTGTATTCTGTAACATTTTTCAGTGATAAGTATGTACACAGATACTATATTTATTTTTATTTTTCCCGATTCACTTTTTTATTTTATGGAAGACTTTTACCACTTTTATGTAACTATTTGCCAAAAGAGGTTTTTACTAGCGTATTTTTGTCAAGGAGCCTAACCTCTGGCTAGAACTGAAGCAGATTAAGAGGTGTAGGGTGAAGATGGGCAAGGAATGGGAAGCCATATGAGAGGAACTTGCAGACCTCGTGCCCCCCCTCCCCCAAATGTGATATTTTAGAAGGAAATTGGAGCAGCACAGAAATGAAGGAAGCAATGGGAATGAGGGTGGCTCCTGGGACTCCAGAGACTAAAAATAAGTACCACATGCCCTCTGCTCTCTCATTCTCTCATATCCACTTTTCTTTGGGTTTTGACTCTCTCAGCCTTCTGTTTGTGGCTTCTCTGTCCCAGCCTCTGCTGGACAGATGCAGGTGGCCTCGAGTCACTGGCTTGACTTCCGATGCCATTCCTTGGACCAATCACTGTGGCTGCAGAAATTCTGGCCCAGCTAGGTCACTGCCCACCCGTCTGACATTGCTTGTGAGAGGGTGCAGAGCAGGAGGGGTTCGACACAGTGGAAGAACTACAAGGGCAGTCTTAGCTTGATACAGCAAAGTACTTTCAGTGCTGCTTAAAGACCACTTGGGCAGCCTCCTGAGGTACTAGGTCCTCACCATTGGACATGTGTATGGAGCGAAGGGGGGCAAGACGTGTTCAGTGACATTGTTGAAAGGTTCGGATACTTGTCACGGATGGTTTGGCTGATTACCTTTCAGTATCCCTTTTCAGCCTGGAGTCTGTTAGCCTACAAGATGCTATCATGCAATTTCCTTTATGTTAATGACATAACTGCCCACTTGTGTGGTGCTTTGCATTTTGCAATAAAAACATCAACAATAAGAAATGGATATAATAGTGTACAAAACATTTCTTTGAGCTTTGTAATTAAACTTTCCTATTCTTTCCACTCGCAGGTTTATGTTGAACCCTAGGATGCTTATGATTGGCAGTTATGTGGGCATCCTGCGATTCATCCACAAGATGTCAAATCTTTGGCCTCACTTCTGATATTTCTATAATCATCTCACACCCTCCTCACTGTCCTTTTTCTGTGGGTGGTGTGCTTCAGGCCACAAAATAAGTGCTCAGTGATGCCATGTGAATGAATTATTTAATGTACACAACTGCACTCCTTGAAAGCTGTAAATATTGTCTAATAATCTGCTGCCCCTTTGAAAGTTATTGTGAGAATTCGAGCCCAGTACTTGGCTTTTGTAGATGAGTTTACATGTGAACATGATTAAAATAATGATTTATATTTCAGGAAGCCATGAAGCAGCTAACCCAGCTTCTCTCAAAGGATCTCGGAAAGGAGCTCTATGAACTTTGGGAGGTGAGTATTTGTGATGGGTTGCTTTTTATTTATTGTGGCTGAACTTGCATGCCTCATCGGTGTTTTTTAGTTAACTTAGATTATCTTAACAAGCTGTCTCTAACTTACCACCTGCTGGTTTGTCTGTTTCTCACCTCTCAGCTGCTGCAGGAATTTCTCATGGCTAAATTAATTTTTCTGCCCTCCAATTTCCCCATTGCCCTTGTCACCATAATGCCTGCTACAGATCCTGACCCATAGCCCCTGGGTTTCCTGATGCATTGCTTTCAGCCCCAACCCTGCCAACCCCACCAACCCCATACCCATCCACTCATTTTTGGTCCTTAAAAAGAACATGGGCTTTGGGTGGTTCAGAAAGAGGTTTGACTCCCACCTCACCGCTCCCTGGCTCAGTGACCTTGGGCATGTTCCCCTCTGCATGTTGCCATCTATGAAACCTTGAAGGGTTGCTGGGCCGACCGAGGTCAAGGTGAAGTGCTGCCGTGATACCCACACAGAACAGGGGCTCCGTGTTCATTCCTTCCCAGTGCTGCGGAGGCCGCATGGCGGAGGGAAAGGGCGTAGAAAGCCATTGTGTTCCCATTGCCCTCCTACTGCTGTTTCTCCTTTGGGAAGAGAAGCCAAAACAGACCCCCGCCTCCTGCGGTTCCTCACTTCCCTCCCACCTGACCCGGCTGGCCCTTCCTGGCTTGTGCCCCAGCCCACTCCTGCTCCAGGGTGGCTCTGCCTCCCACTCTCACTTCGCATGTCGCCTTCCAAGCCCTGTGCCCCCTCCTGTCTGCAGAGTCTGAGCTGCCACCTGTTCCTTCACGCCTTCAGGCCCCCCCGGCCTGGCTCTGCCCGAGCCTCGGAGCTGGCGGAGCGCCCCTCCCCGAGTCTTCCCACTTGGGTGCTGGGGTAGGTCTTTCCTTGACTTGAGAAGATGGCAACAAATACGAAGTGCCAGGGTCAAAACCCTGAGCAGATATTCCCCCCAGAAATGCCATTTGTCTCAGTGCTGAGGTCTGTACTGTGCTGTCATGTCTGTCCTTCAGCTGCAATGTGAATGCAGTGACCCTCTGAAGGCAGGGGGTGCCGCAGAGAGGGGCTTGCAGCCAGGAGACCGCGGTTCGAATCCCACCTCCTGGCCACATGCCCTTCGGGGAGTTACTTGGCTCTAGTCAACCCATTTGCCCTCTAGAAACACAATAATTACCGCTCCACATACCTTAGCCACAATTAGAAATTTACAAAGTTCAGTTTTAGTTTTTTAAACTTACCAACCTTAACTCATCTGGCAGTAAAATCTTACCTGACTCAACTAGATGCTGTTTAGAGTCCCCGCTCATCCCTTTGATGTGAAAATTAATATGCTTTGATGTAGAAATAGTCGTGTGTTTGTTAACTGAGTCTGCCCTAGATGCCACTAGAGGTTTTCTGTGATATACTATATGTACCATATTTTCTAAAATTAAAAAAAAAAAGTACAGAAAACTGAAACAGTTCTGGCCTCAGGGTTGAGGATGAGAAATTGTGGGCGTTTAATACTTACCTTGACAAAGAATTGTGAAATGTAAATGTGGCAGAGGTTACCTGGTATCTGGCTGGAGCCTGGCTCAGATGGTATTTGTTACTTGGTACAACAAGGTTTCTTTAGGAAAAAGATTCCGTCCTTCCAAAGTATGTACTTGCAGGAGCACTTTTGGAACACTGTGAATTTGGGGAATAATGGAGTGGAGTTGTGTCGTACTTAATACATTTAAACACACACACGCGCGCGCACATAAAAGTGGCCCCTGAACTTATGACACTAGTTCCATGTATTATCTCTTAAGGAGGAAAGAACTCATAATTTGAAAACCTTTTGCAAAAAATTTGTAATCTTGTGGCTCCTAATTATTGTAAATATAGTGGCAATATCTGTTATTTTCTTAGTTAGCCATCAACAATGGGCTAAATAAAGCTTAATGCAAAACCTACTTAATTACAACAGTATTTTTCAAATGCAGCAATCACTTAGAAAGACTGTAGATTTTGAAAGCTATAAAACACAGAGCATTAAAGGACTCTATAGCCCCCAAACAGGTAATAATTGTATGATCTTGTAAAAGCCATTGGTTGAATTAGTTAAGCTTGTTTAAGAAGATCTCAGGACAGGTACAGTGACCCCCTAGAATGTGACAGTCCTCCTTTAGAATTGTGGCTGCCGGGCCAACACCACCTTAAGGGAAGACTGCAGAGGGTTAAATTCTTTGCTGGTAATACTGTGGGATGTCGATGACTGATGTGGAGGAGATACATTTCGAGCTTTTCTATTTTTTGAGATGAACTTCATCTTGTACATGCTATGACAGGGATGGGGAACTCATTTTTTGTGTTCTTTTTATTTAGGGCCAGAGGGGGAAAATGAAGACCGTATGAATAAGTAGCAATACATGTTTTCAGAGAGAATTATAGAAATTTATTTATAAAAAATATTATTCAAGGCCCCTAAACTCTCCTTAACCAATTAGCACACCTCTGTGAATGAACAAGCTACTTCAGGTCGGTAGGGCGGTCACAGGCCCCAGACGTACAGACTGAGCTCGAGTTAAGAATCAGTAGTGTTTATTGGTTTATTAGTGAAGAGCGTGAGTGTGTGTGTGTGTGCTGGTGAGCTCATGGATATTTAAGATGATCTGGAAGTCATAAAACTAAAGGGGGGAAATGTACATACTTAATATTGATATTATTTTGTTAAGAACATTTTGGACATCAGAATTATCTTTGATTCCTTGACCATTTCTCCCCATCCTGTGCCTATTAAAGCCTGCTACTTCAGTAACTCTTTCTATACACGAGCCATGTCTTTTGCAGCCCAAAGTACCTTCAACAGAAAATCCTAGCTCTGGGCGGTACCGAAGAAGACGCTGCACGTGCTGCGGTTCTTTCTCTCTGATGGGGGTCGAATGGTGTCCCTTCAGATCCATGTGTACCTTCGAATAGGACCTTGTTTGGATAGGACTTTTATAGGGTAATCAAGTTTAAGTGACTGGTGTCCTTCTGCGAAGGGGAGTCTGCACTCAGACACGCACCCTGGGAGAAGCCGCGTGAACACGAAGGCCATCCGCACGCCAAGGAGAGGCCTGGGGCGGACCCTCCCTCGCGGCCCTCAGAAGGAACTGACCCTGCCAGTGCCTTGATTTCCAGCTTCTGGCTCCCAGAACTACGAGACAATAGATTTCTGTTGCTTACGCCACCCAGTTAGTGGTACTTGTTACAGCAGTCCTAGTAAATGAATTCTTTTCCTCTCTGTCTCTGACACCTTTGGTATTAGGCAGGAGCTACTTTATTATATTTTTACATACTTTTAACATTATCTCAATGTTCTGTCTCGGTCTTTACTATATCTGTTAGAATTTTGTCAAGTTAAAACTGAAGCAAAACCCATTTTTAACTCCATTATTTTATGGATAAGATAAGAATACTAAAGGCTGAATGGCCTTACTTTACCCAAGGTCTCTCTTTTAAAAAAATTTTTTTTTCTTTATTGATTTTAGAGAGAGAGAAAAAGAGAGGGAGAGAGATAGAAACATCGATGAGAGAGAACATCAACTGGCCACCTCCTACATGCCCCCCACTGGGGATCCGGCCCACAACCTGGACACGTGCCCTGACTGGGAATCGAACTGGTGACCCCTTGGTGCATGGGTCGATGCTCAACCGCTGAGCCACAGCGGACGGGCTGCCCAAGGTCTCTTTAGCAGTGGGTGACAAAGCTAGGCCACAAGCCTGCCTCCTAGTTCAGCATCTTCTTTATGTCATTATGCTATATGTTGGTTAATTGAACAAGCATTTATAGTTCTATGTGTATTCATGGTACCACTTATTATAATAAGGTACCACTTATTAATAAGTCAGTTACCTATTACTATAAGTAAGAGACTGAGTTTTTGAAGGCTGCTGTATTTGTAACAAATTACCACAAACTTGGATGGCTTAAAACAACAAAAATGTATTGTCTCACAGTTCTGGAAGCTAGAAGTCCAAAATTAAGGTGTCGGCAGGACTGCTCTCTGAAGTCTCTAGGGGAGGATCCTTCCTTGCCTCTCCCTAGCTTCTGGTGAGTCTCGCTTTTAGCTTTGGCATCCCTTGCCTTATAGACACGCTGACGACTTTAGTCAGATGGTGTACTCCCTGTGTCTGTATCTGTATCTGTACCCAACTTTCCCTCTTCTTATGAGGACACCAGCCGTTGGATTACGGTCCATCCTAACCCGGTATGAATTTATCTTTATTTGATTACATCTGCAAAGATCCTATTTCCAAATTAGGTTGCATTCACAGACATGAATTTGGGGGCAGTATTATTAGATCCAGTATACAAACCCATATTACCTAAGTATTTTTATAGTTCATGTCCAGTATTCTTAGTACATGGGCTTCAACATCACATTTCTATGTTCAAATGCTGGTCCTTCTCTTTGGTAGCTCTGTGATCTTGGGAAACTTACTGAACCACCCTAGGCCTTAATTTCCTCATCTATAAAATGGTAACGATAATAGTATAGCTATCTTATAGGTTTGTATGTATGGCAGTCAAATCAATTAATATGTGTAAAACATTTAGAATATTGCCTGATACATAGCTCTATTTTTCTTCTATCTTCAGTCCATATGTTCTGATTTTGAATTAAGATATATCAGCTAAGGCAACAGAAACAAAGGAAAAAATGAACACGTGGGAATACATCAGATTCAAAAGCTTCTGCACAGCAAAAGAAACACTCTTGTGTATTTTGCAATTCCTGGTACTGTTATGGTGTTGTGACCCTCAGTTTTGTTATCAATGTTACCTCTGAGGTTTTTGGTTTTGCTATTCCTTTGTTCTGTAAGCTTTTTTTTTCTTTCTTTCTTTCTGTTTCTTCTGTTTTGCTCCTGTTTGTTTCCCAAGCTAGAAACTAGGAAGTCATTTATGACTCTCCCTTTCATTCACTTTCACATTGTGGTTTGCTTCTTCATCCTTAACATTTCTTAACTCTGCCCACTTCTCCCCATCTTCATTGCCAGATTCTCCTAACTTCTCTGCTAGTGCTACAAAGTCTCAAAGCCCGATAGCTCAGCTTCCAATCTAGCCATCGTTCACACCGAAGCTAGAACGCTCTTTGTAAAATGCAAACCTGATCACGACACTTCTTCCTGGCACCTTTCAGTGATGCCCAGCAGCTGCAGGATAAGCTGAGACTCTGCCACGTAAACCACAAGGCCTTTCAGGGAGCTGGCTCTTCTCCCCCCTTCAGCCTTTTCCTCCCCCCTTCTCCCTTTAGTTCTCCATCCTGCCCTTAGGAACTATTTGCAGTAAGTTCCCCGAAGATGCCATAGCACCTTCTCACTTCTAGAGCAGTGCTGTCCCCCCACCCTGCTTCCTGGGGGCAAAGTGAAATCGAAGAATGCCAGTTCCATTATTTTTTCAGAGAAAACCCAGTGATTTATATCTGAAAAGAAATGTGTATTTTCACTAGACTTTGTCATAGAATATATTATTTCCCAGTGGTCTTGTAATCTTTTTTCTCACTTTCAACAAAAAAATCCTGGACTGCTATGCTTAGAGTACTCTATTTATTTTTGTTAAATAATAAGCTTAAATTTATAAAATATAAGTATAAATGTAAATAAACATTTAAATTATGTGTAACTATTTCTAAGTGCCTTTGAAATAAAACAAAATGTATTGGTCTTATATTAAAATGATTTCTCTTTACAATTTAAAGCTCTATCAAAATTCAAATAGCTGCCTTTATAAAAATAAGTCATTTAATAAAAACCAAGAAACCTTCAGTGATTCACATCACATTATCCTGCCAAAAAAGCATGACAGGTTCATTATTGAACATATCTGGGGTGGAATTACAAATGAGAACTTTGCAGGGAAACCAACTGGGAACACTTTGGTTTTAACAGAAGAATAATTTTATATAGTATTAATTGGGACTTGTGGTTGTATGACGTGTGTCATGCTAGGAAAAAGACCTCCCGTAGCTTCTTATTTCAGGTCTGCACTGAGGAGGGAGGGACCAGTGGGAAGAGGAAAGGTAAAATCTGCTCCCTGTCCACTGCCCTCACCACCCCCTGCCACCAGCACATGCACACAGCCCACTGCATGACAGTTCACAGATCCCGACTGTGTCCTCCAGAGGTGTAACCAGAGAGACTTAAGTCCTCCCTATTTAGAAAGTAAGGACAGCCCAGCCAGTGTGGCTCAGTGGATTGAGTGTTGTCCCATGGACTGAGAGGTCTAGTTTCAATTCCCGGCCCAGGTTTTGGGCTCCATCCCCAGGAGGGCATGGGCAGGAGGCAGCCGATCGATATTTCTCTTTCCCCCTTTCTCTCTAAACAATCAATAAAAACCATATTAAAAAAGAAAGTAAGGACAGAGGTTCCAAGTGTAAAATGGTAATGAAAATTAAATGAGAAAACTAGAAATTTTCTCAAAGGGAAAGGAAACCTAACATTAAACGGAGAGAGAAATAATTTGAGAAGCATGAGGTGAAATATTAGCTTGAAGTTAAAAAAGATTTACACCACTTGGGTGGATTAAAGAATAATTGTCTTGAAATGAAGACAAGATACTTAACAGGAAGAAAAATGCTTGAAGTGTCAAGATGAACAAATGAGACTCCTAAGGCATCGGGTAAAACATGGAATTGTGAGCACATCCTTGCGTGGAGTGACGATGTCCACTGTGAAATTACAGGTGAAGCATCTCTGTGCGGGGTCTGTGCACACTGGAGAAATGTGGCCAGTTCAGAATGTATGTGCCTTTAGCTGTGTCTCGTAATTTTAGTATCAGAATCGGAATTTTCCCAGATTACCCTATCATGAGTTCTAATCATGCTGCTCTAATTATCCCTGTACTTAGGAGTATGAGGCCCAATCTAGTGCAGAGGCCAAATTTGTGAAGCAGCTGGACCAATGTGAGATGATTCTTCAGGCATCTGAGTACGAACACCTTGAGAAGAAACCCGGGAGACTGCAGGACTTCTATGATTCCACAGCAGGTACTCAGTGCTGTTTTCCGGAAGTGTCATTATAGCTTGGCTTCCTCCTAGTATAGTAAATAACATTTTGTTAGTGTTACCCTCTTCTGACCTTTCCATACGGAGCATCGAAGAGGAAAACAGTGTGATTCGTGGGGAGAGCTGGCCGGGTGCAGGATAGCATTGCCGCCCTGGAGTCTTGAGTGCCGGGTTCACGGTCACACTTACGAGCTGTGTGCCCCTGGGCAGGCTCCTGACCTCTCTGTGTCCTTTTTGAAAAACAGAAGGCATAATAACACTTATCCTGCTTAAGTCATGGGTTGGTTTTGAGGTTCACAAGAGGTAATGCATTGAAAGTGCATTGTGATCTCTAAGTGCCTTATAGGTGTAAGGTCATGTGAGGCGGGGGTAGAAACAGATTTAAAGCAAGATAACCCCAAATGGCTTAAGTTACCATACTAGTTTTATGGCACAGACCTGGAGCCAAACTGCTTGGGTTTGAATCCTGGTTCTGCTACATAAAATCTCTGTAACCTCCAGTATATTACTGAACCTAGCTCTGGACCTTAGTTTCTGTATTTTAAAAATGTAGATAATTACAGAATCTACTTTATAGATTCTGATATAGAATCTTGAGGATATAGTGGATTAATTCATGTGAAGTCCTTAGACTAATACCTGGTAATAAGCCTTAGCTGTCTGTATTCTGATACAGTTTCCAGAGTGAGGAGTTAAGTACCTGAATTAATGGTAGCCGGTGTTCCTGTCTCTCCTGGGAATAAAACTCACGTCTCCCCGCTGGGAGCTCTTCAGGCTCAGCCCAGCCTCCACCCCTTCGAGAGTAGTTAGAGAGAGCCTTTCTGGACCTCTCAGAACCCGCATGTGGCCCCACCAAAGAGAGAGGGTCCCAGATCACAGACTACGCTCTAAAATATGATCTGCACTGCAATGAAGTTGATTCAGTTTTCCTTCTCTGTTTTCCAGCCCACTACACCTGCATTAGGCACAGCCCTCGTTATTTCTGTATTGGGCTCTTGTTATAACCACCTAACTGAGCCTGCCAGGCTGGCCATTCATCCTGCATGCCACAGTGTTTTCCTCCTTCGTACTTATAGGTATCATCACATGTTTGTTTTTAAAGCTCTGTAGCTTTTCTCGTCCTAATAAATAAAATCCTGACACTTTTGAGTGGCCTATATAGCCCTGAAGCCTAAGGCCACTCATCAATCTGGTTTCCTTTCCTAAACCTCTCTGTCAAAATTAGCTGTTCCCTTTTTCTCAGTCTGCACTTGCCATGGTGTTCCGCAGTCTGACTTCCCTAACGATGTTGCTCCTTGGGTCTCTTCCCAAACCTCCACTGGCTCACCCCATCCTATAAGAAGGTGTTTGAGGGCCAAGACCAGCTTTGTCTCATCTGTCTTTGATGTAGGTGGTATTAAAAATGTTTGACTTCAGTTAAATAAGATAATGTAAACTGGGTCAGCAAACTATGGCCCAAGGGCCAAATTGGTCTGCTGTGCTTGTTCATATAAAGTTTTATTGAAATAACTACACTCTTTATCTATTGCTTATACCACTTTAGTGCTACAACACAGAGTTAAGTAATTGGCAACAGAGACAGATAAGTCCACAAAGCCTGAAATATTTACTGTCCAACTCTTTACAGAAAAGGTTTGCCAACTCTGTTATAAGGAATGATTGGGTTCTAAGATAGTATGTTTCACTTGTAGTTAAAATGCAAGTAAGTCTTGTTTATGTGGTGCTTTGCATTTTATCATGATTATCTTCTATTTTGACACATTCTCAATGAAAAACAAAAAATGAAACATGAAGATACTAGTAAAATAAAACATGTGGGAGCTGGAAGTATCACCTCGTTCAAACTCCACATTTTATTGAAGAAGAAACTTGAGCCTGGAAAGAGGGGGATGTGCCCATAACTGAGTTGAGATTAAAATTCACTGCACTGAGTTTCCATGTAGTTCTTCAATCAGAGGCTGCCTGGTGACGTTTCTCCTAGTTCTGTCTAATCGACAGGTTTGCCCGATTCTCATCTCTATGCATGGTGGCATCTGGGGTGACAGAGAGTAAGCTCCAGGTGGTCCCCTCTGGCCCCTATCCAAATCGGAAGGAAGAACCTGTGATTGTGTTCTGCGTGCAGTAAACCATGGGTCAGATCACAGAGTCAAGCCCCTGACAAGTGCCTAGGATCACGCCAGAGAAATTGATGTATTCTGTCAGCCTTATCATCTTCCATCTTCTTGCCTTGCAGGAAAATTCAGTCACCCCGAGATAGTCCAGCTTGTTTCTGAACTTGAGGCGGAAAGAAATGCTGACATAGAGGCTGCAGCCGGTGAGCCGCACTCCTGAGATGTCTTTGTGTGGTTGCACTCCTGTAACAGACATTTTATTTTTCCACTGAATGGTGTGGTGTTTGCCCCTGTCGGTCTGTTGATTTCCCCAGATGTGAGTGTTTATTTTCAAGTGCCTGGACTCCAGCAAGAAACGTGATACAATTTGGGCCAAAAAAGAAGCCAAAGAACAGGATGTGGTCATGAAAATGCATAGATGAAGACTGGGGGAGGTGGGGGGGGGCATCTTAATTGGAGATTTAAAATCTATTGAATTTATATAATACATCCCTGAGGGCTGGATTCATTGAGTGATAGGAAATTTAGTTATGATTGCTTTTCAGAACAGGTTTTTCAGCTTAGTGATAAGGATCCAGGGAAAAGAATGCATTATAATACATTCCCTTCTCAATGAAAGGCTGCTTTATTCAGACAATCACCCTCCGGAGCCAGATTTTTAATTTCCCTGTGACCTGCTTTGATCATGGATTTGCAAACCTGCTAACAGGTTCTGGCCCTTCCCCCATTCTGTTTGTCATTTGGAAATATAAATTGGAACATGCAATTTCAAATGCTATGTGTCTTATGTGTTTTTCCCTTTCTGATTTACAGATGTTTATACCTTGATTATAGGAATGTTTATCACCAAGTGAGAAATATGTAATAATAAGAGTATTGCTGGAGTCACTGGACCTTATATAGGGAACACATCAGACCTGTGTTTTTCCCCCTCATTTCCCTTTCATAGGATAAGTAATCTGCCTGCTGGCCTTTAAATGATGCTCAACCATTGAATGGTGAGGAAGGGAAGACTATTTGGTGCAAACCTGCTTAATATTTTGCACTGACAGATTTTGGTGTGGAACATGATGCCTGTCCCTTTAATTCGAATGTCAGTTTCCATTTGGAGGCAGCCTTTTAGGCTGGCATGGTAAGGAATCCAGGCAGCGTTTCTTTGGAAACTCTGCAGTCTCCATGGATACCCAATCTGCAGGAAGCAAGGTGCATGATCTCTTCAGAAGCAACACACACATGTACATATAGCTTGCTGCTCTGTTTTGAAAAGAGCAATGCTGCTCTGAATCCAAATACTGCTCCATCATAACAACAGTATTTACAAGGTGATAAATGGGTGAAAATCAGCAGAATGTGGTTATTATTAGAGATACAGTTAGAGAAACAAAACGACATTATTAGTATTTTGGAGTTTTTTCTCCTGGCATGAAAATATGCACACAAAATAACTTGAGATAAAGTTCAAATATTTATAACCAAAAGATTTTCTGTGGCCCTGGAGTATTATTTGGGATATTTTGCCTGCTATATTTTTTATAAATTCACAGACTTTGGAACCCTCTACTGGGTCAGACTTAATACTGGTCACTTCATCATTCTCTCAGTTTCCATTTACCTACCAAGTGAGAGTTCACACAGTGCCATGCCTTCCTTATTGAGGTAATATGTTTTAAAACAATGAAATATAATGGTGGTATAAATAAAATTGTAAGAATAAGATGAAGATTAATTTTTTTAAAGATAGCTATTGAATTCACCAGCCAATGTCTGCAAATATTTGAGCATTATCACTTAAAAAAAAAAAGTATTTTTCTTGGAAGATAACTTGCTACTTGCCTGGAATTAGTTTTCTGAATAGCAAATCCTATAGTTGTGATGCAGAGTAAATACTTATTCTGGGGTTGAACTGTTGGCTCACAAACTGGCCACCATACATGAAAAGCAAGGAGAGATGGAAGAAAGAGGCAGACCACTCCAGACTGGTAGGTGGCAGTTTTAATAAGAAAGGGAACTTGCATATGAGGCTTGTTAGGGGTGGTCACAAGATGGGCAGATCTCCACACCTGCCCACCAGAATCTTAAGAGTAAAGAGGACTTGACTGTGTTCAGTCACATATACCATCCAGATGGTCTCAACAAGGCATTACGGTATCTTTGAAATAGCTCCCAGTATGGGAACGTACATTCCAAGGACGGGTGTGGGTGAGGAGCCTCTGATTGCCCAGGTCCAGCTTGCAAGTCAACCAACAGTCACATCCTCTTGATGACCTCTTCCAACATGAACCCCCCAAATATTCCTTGTTATCTTCTTTGAATGCGGAAGAGAGACTACCCAACACTAAAGGAGGTGAGGGCAAACGGCAGGGCTGCAGGAGGCACCCCTCAGACCAGTCCTCCCCAATCCCTGGGGCTCATTGGAGGGACGGTTCTTTCCCCAAAACAAGTCCTTGTTTCTTCCTTGTGGGCTAGCATTTCATGAGCTGTTACATAATTCTCAGTGTCTCTGTATTTGGAAAAAATGTTGATTCTAACCGAACCTGTTTATCTGACAGTCTTATAATACAGTGATACCTCGGTTCTCGAACATAGTTCGTTCCAGGAGGACGGTCGAGAACCGAATTGTTCGAGAACCGAAGCAATGAAACCCAATAGGAAAGCGTGACTCCACAAAGCGTGACTCTCTCTCTGCACTCACACTGATGACGCAAGCAAGGCGCGCTGGGCCGAATGAACGCCATTCGGCTCAACTCGGCTCATCTCGGAAGTTCGAGTTCCAAATATTTGTTCGGATTCCGAGACAAAAGTTTCTTGAATCTCCTGGTCGAATACCGATTTGGTCGAAAACCGAGGCGTTCGAGAACCGAGGTATCACTGTATATGCTCTGGGGTAAAGGACTGATGAAGTGCCTTGTGAAAAGCATTCTCTGCACCCAGCATCCTTATTTAAGTTATTTGCTAGTCTTCATATTCAAAGTGAGATTGAGGAGAATCTGTTGGAGAGTCAGGATAATTTTTGATTTGCCTTAATACATACTCTTTATAATATAAATTAAGTAAAAAGTGAAGAACAAAAGATTGCATCATTTTTAGAGGTCATCCAAAGTAATCATAGCCCTGCTGGTGTGGCTCAGTGAATTGAGTATTATCCCATGGACTGAGAAGTCTGGTTCGATTCTTGGTGTGGGTACATGCCTGGGTTGCAGGCTCCACCCCATGGAGGGGCATTCAGGAGGCCGCTAATTGGCATTTCTCTTTTCCTGTCCAAAAAAATAAAAAACATATTTTAAAAAAGCAATCATAAAATTTTGCAAAATATAATTAGTTTGAAATTATATTTGAAAACACCAGGTTTGAAGTTGCTTTACCTTTTATATTTAAATCACTTTTTAACATCACCATCTTCCAGTGTCACACCCACTCATACTCCAATTTGATAAGTGAGGAGAGTGTTGAGGTTGAAGTTTGCAACCTTATGCACCATTTTATAGTAAAAGTAAAACAAACTGCAAGCTGACAGGTAATTCTGGATGAGCAGCTTAGGTTCTGGTGTCCTCTTCATGGACCACTGCATGGCTGGTGTATCACGGCATTCCATAACAAAGCACGCAGTTTGCTCTGTTTTCTACCGGTCAAGAGCAGACTTATAAGAAGTTGTGTAATTTAGGGTAAAGTGCAGATTGCTTTGCTGACATAACTTACCAATGTTTATAGTCTTTATGAGACGTGAGTTTAAGATAAAGTTGCAGGGTAAATTTATATTTTTCATCAAAGCAACAGTATTTAAAAAGTGAAAATGGTTACTTTATAGATGGCCTTTTTTTAAAGCCAGTTTATTTTGTAATCACAGTTCACTTTGGAATTTTTGATTATTGAGATATGGTAGTCCCCCATCATCCATGGGGTATACCCAAGACCCCCGTTGGATGCCAGAAACTGTGGATAATACCCCTATATATACTGTTTTTCCCTATACATACATCCAGTTTACAGCTTCTTATTGGCCTATCCAAATTGCCAACATTACTCTTCTTGCCCTTTGGAGCCATTAGTAAGCAAAATAAGGTTGACTTGAACACAGACACTGCAATACCGAGGCAGTCCACCTGATAACTGAGACAGCTACAGAGGGACCAATGGGCATGGAGCATATACATTTTGCAGACACTAGACAGAGAGATGCCATTCACGTCTCCAGCAGGACAAAGAGGGATAGCTCGAGATTTTGTGATCTGCTTAGAATGATGTGCAATTTAAAACTTACGAATTGGACGTCCGGTCAAGATGGCGGGTAGGTAAACGCGGTATCTTGCCCTCCCACAACCACATCAAAGTTACAACTAAACTACAGAACAACCATCATTTAAGACCGCCTGAAATCAAGCTGAATGGAAGTCCTATAACTACAGAATTAAAGCAGCAACCACATCCAGACTGGTAGGAGGGGCAGAGGCCCGAGGGGCGGAGGGGCTGGTCCCACACCCACGTGTGGCGGATAAAAATCAGGAGGACACCTCGGCTGGGAAGGTCCTCAGGGAAGGTCCTCCCTGAGGACTGAGGGGTCCCTGTCACACACCAGGTGCCCCGCTCAGGGTTCCAGCGCCAGGAAGAGAATCCCCATAACTTCTGGCTGGAAAAACCAGCAGGAACTGAGGCTGAGGGAGGCTGAGGCGGCTGGAGCCCCAGGCAGCTCCTTAAAGGGCCCGCGCACGGACTTATCGGACTCTCTCCCTCTAAGCTTGGAGGGGAGGCAGCTCGAGGGGCGCCAGAGACATACAGGGAAGAACTGAGCTGTTTGGCACTGGAGTGAGGGCTGGAGAGGGGGCTTTCTCCGGGACAAATGTGCTGTCAGAGGCCTTTGTTCCTTTGGTGAGCCCTTCCCTGGGGCAGCAGACAGCGGCCATATCTGGGACTCCAGCAACCTGGCTCACACTGGTAGCCCCGCCCTGGTGACTCCCTGAGGCCCCACCCCACCCAACTTTCAGGCCCACCCAAGCTGTTGCCACTTGCTTAATCATAGCGATTGGCCTGTCTTGAATCCTGCTTCAGATTTTCCTAAATTCTTTCAAACAAGCAGCATCTGTTCTCAGCTAGCCCTATACCTCTCGTTAAGTAATACACAGAAACAGACACAGGGAGGCAGCCAAAATGAGGAGACAAAGAAACAGGTCCCAAATGAAAAACAGAACAAAACCCCAAGAAAAGAACTAAGCGAAATGGAGATAAGCAACCTAACAGATGCTGAGTTCAAAATACTGCTTATAAGGATGCTCAATGAACTTAGTGAGAACCTCAGTGAACTTAGTGAGGGCCTCAAGAACATAAAAAAGGACCAGTCAGAAATGATGGATGCACAGTCAAAAATAAAGGAGGCATTAACTGAAATAAAGAATAATTTACACAGATTCAATAGTAGAGAAGGTAAAGCCAAGAAGCAAACCATCGATTTGGAATATAAGGAAGCAAAAAACACCCAATCAGAACAGCAAAAAGAAAAAAGAATCCAAAAAAAATGAGGAGAATGTAAGGAGCCTCTGGGACAACCTCAAGCATGCCAACATTCGCATCTTGGGGGTGCCGGAAGAAGAGAGAGAACAAGAAATCGAAAACCTGTTTGAAACAATAATGGCAGAAAACTTTCCTAACTTGGTGAAGGAAACAGACATACAAGTCCAGGAAGCACAGAGAGTCCCAAACAAGATGAACCCCAAGAGGCCCACACCAAGACACATCATCATCAAAATGCAAAAAGTTCAAGACAAAGAGAGAATCTTAAAAGCAGCAACAGAAAGGCAGCTAGTTACCTACAAGGGAGTTCCCATAAGGCTGTCAGCTGATTTCTCAAAAGAAACTGCAGGCCAGAAGGGAGTGGCAAGAAATATTCAGAGTGATGAAAAGCAACAACCTACAACTAAGATTACTTTATCCTGCAAAGCTGTCATTTAGAATCAATGGCCATATAAAGAGTCTCCCAGACAAGAATAAGTTAAAGGAGTTCATCACCACCAAACCATTATTATATGAAATGATGAAGGGTCTTTTTGAAGAAAAAGATAAAATATATGAACAAACAAAATGGCAATGAATACATGTCTATCAACAATGAAATCTACAAACAAAATGAACAGGTAGAACAAACATTCTCATAGATACAGAGAACATTTTGTTGGTTGCCAGATGGGAGGGGTTTGGGGGAATGGGTGAAAAAGGTGAAGGGATTAAGAAGTACAAATTCATTGCTAGATTGACAAACCTCAAAGGGAAAGGAGTTGTGGGGTGGGAAGAAATAAACCAAAGAACTTCTATGCATGACCAATGGACACAGACAATAGCGTGGGAAAAGGCGGGAGGGGGTCGGGAGTTGGGAGGAGGGGGTCAATGGGGGAAAAATGAGGAACATCTATAATGCATTCTACATTCAACAATAAAGATTTAAAAAATAAATAAATAAATAAATAAATAAATAAAACTTATGAATTGTTTATTTCTGGAATTTTTCACTTACTATTTTTGGACAGAGTTTGATCGTGGGTAACTGAAACTGCAGAAAGGGAAACTGAATAAAGAAGACTACGTTCTTTGTTGTGGTATAATTTCGTATATGGTCTTGATCAGATGTCATTTTCTCTTAGTAAAAGGTTACGTCCATTGCATGCAAATGCCTTAGCAGCTGTGGGACACTTGAGACTACTGCATGTCAACTTTCACATGCGAAGTGAGGGAGAAACCAGCAGCTCTGGAGTAATGGGGCAGTGAGGAAATGAAGCCTCTATGTAGATTAGAGAGACTTTTACAATTGAAGACTGTCTTAGCATCCTATAGTAGCTGAGATTATAGTTACTTACATGTTGTCTCCCAAATTCACCAGATTAGCACCACCTTTTAAGGTCATCAATATCCCTGAAGACATAAATAAATTAGGAACTCAAAGTCATCATTAAAATCAATTATTTTAATTGCTTAAATAAACATGTGATTAATGTAGTTGAGGCAGACCACAAGCAGTTTGATGAAATGTCCAAGTGTTATCCCATTGCTGGGGACAGAAAGAGCTCTATCCAGTGGACTGACAGAACTGAAACGGGGTGCTTACTCAGCCTTCAAAGACATGCATATGGTAAAGGTGTCCGAGCAAACATCAAAGCATATAATTAATTGCTCACGTTTGAAAAAGTATGTTTGGGTTACACAAAGAGATGGGTCATGACCAATTTTGTACCTGCTCAACTCAGGACATTTAAAAAGACGATCTGTGAATAATGAAGTGTGTGCTCAAGTGGTCCATTATCAACACAAATACGAATGGAAATCATTTTATGAAACTTTGTGGAGAGGCCTGGATTTTCCCAGTGGGATTTTGGTCTTCATATTAGGTGTGCAGGGGGATGATGGACCTGGGCAGCCGTCGGCCCTAGCACTGCAGTTCCTCCTCCGCCCGCCGCGGGGCGCCCCCCGAGCTCTGCGCGCTGGCGTGGGCCGTGGAGCTGAGCACCTCTTCAAAGCTGCCTCCCCCGTGGTTCGTCCCGCCTACTTTCGTCTGAAAGGGGCAGAGACGAAAAAATGCAGTTAGTTCATTCTTTCTGTAATGCTTTTATAACATTGATTCCTCTCAAGTTCAGAAATACTTTTTGTTCTTAAGAGGGTTTGTAAAGGATGTAGAGCAGTCAGTTTCCTTTGGCAGGGTGCCTGATGTCATTCATACTTGGGTTCCGGAATGGGAATAGAAACTTTCATCTTGTACAATTTTAGCAGCATTCTCTTTCTCACTTCTATGTGTAAGATTCCCAGTCCCTCCAGGAGCATAACTGGATCTGTGGATTCGATCCATCTACTCACCCAGAGAAGCGATTTAATTAATAAAAGCAACTGGATTTTCTAGATATTCCCCCAAGTTTACAAATGTATGGATGGATTTAAGTGACTTCACTTAAGTTTTCTACTTGAGATTTAACAAGGCAGCCTGCATTTTTGACAAATGTCTCGAGAAGGCAGAGGGGCTCAACGGAACATGTTTCTGATCTCTGGTTTCAGAGTTGGAGATGATTAAAGTCTTAAGCACTGGTCACTTCACATCTTTCTAGGCCATTGCCTTTAAAGGAGGAATATTCCTTAAAATTCAGTTAGTATGCTTTTCAAGGCTCTTTTTGTGTGTACTTATTGGTTAATAAGCATAGAATCAGGAAGAAAAATTTATAATTAAGAAATATGGTTAAGTATTTTGAAAGCTTCCTTATTAAAAAGTTCTTCAAAAAAATATTTACTCATCCAGAATGCTTAATGAAAGTCTCCATAATAGTCACGTTGGCCTTTCTTTAACCATTAACAATATGGAGAAAAACTCTGAGGAAAAGAACGGTGTGGACTATATAATGTTGCTGTTCTCAATCTGCTTGCTGTCTACACCTCACTGTCTCCAAAGTGATCCTGACAAGGACATAAGCCACACTGAGGAATGAATGTATCTGCCTACTGCCTAGCCTGCCCTTTTAAAACCTTAACCAGGGTTTAAAATAGTTCAATCATTGCAAAACAAACACACTTTTCTCCAATTGTCACTAAAATCTCTTTCTACCTCTTTTAAATTAAATTACTAAATTGAATTTTTCCATCTGCTGGAGGTCGGGGAATTTATTCTGGAAAGTGACAGATAATATTTTAGGCTTGGGAATCACAAATATTCAAATTAGCCGGTGTAGAAATCAGCCAAAGACAATGCATAAGTGAATGAGCATGGCTGTGTTTTAGAGAGACTACATGAACACTGAGTGAATTTCATGCAATTTAATTGTCACAGGTCACAAATATTATTTTTCTGTTTTCTTTTTTTCAGCATTTAAGAAGTGTCAAAACCATTCTTAGCTTACAGGCCACTCAAAAATAGGTGACCAGCTAGATTTGGTCCACAAGCCTTACTTTGCAGGCCTCTGGTACAGAGCATTGATTTCTCTGATCGGTATTATTTTAGCACTGGGAAGAAAGAGGGTTGCTTTCAATTATGTGATTTTTTTTTCTCACAATGATTATTTCTTTCCTAAGAGAAACAAGATTCATCCAATGTAATTTACTCTATTAATAGTTCCCATTCTCCTCTTTGTTTCATTCGTTTTTTTGTTTTGTTTTGTTTTGTTTTTTTGCAATAGAAGTTACACACAGTATTGAATCAGATCAATACAAATTACTGATGTTTTCTTCTGGGCTTTGTTTCATTCTTCTCTCCTGCTTCTTAATTTTTCTCACATCAAAATAGAAAAAGAAAGAAAGAAGGGACCACTTTGAAATAAAGCAATTTGGCAAAAGGAGTGAAATGAGGAGTTTCCTAGTCACGTGGGTTTAATGACTGCACACTACACTCCTTTAGGCAAGGACCGGCTTAGCAAAGATGTGAATAATAAACCCCTCTTGGACCCTTCCTTTCACAATGATTTTTCATCCAAGAAGTTGTCATTGTGTCCTCAAGATTATAATTGTTCTTTGCAAAAAAATTGTATTTGAATTAATGAATTGGGCTTCTTAATCGCTCATAACAAAATAACTGGTTGAAAGGACACAAAGAAACAATAAGTATCTTGCCTTTTTGTTTAAAAATCAAGTTTAAAACAGTATGCAAAAATGGCAATGCAGCATATAAAACAGCCTCAGCATCCACAGTTGAAGAAAATGATAGATGTTTTGTAAAAGATTTAGGACACAAAAGTAAACTATGCAGAAAAGAAGCTATATAAAGCAGGGTTAAACATCTATTATTTAGTCTGAAGAAAAAAAGGAATGAAAATTTTGTAATTACTGAGGAAGTGGGAGGTTTCACACAAAGTGTGAGCATTAGCTCTTTCCCATGGGTAGGCAGAAAAAGAGGAACTAGGCATTGACCAGGATGTGGGAAGCCAGTGGGATGTGAGTGTCGTTAGACCCATGGACCATCAGGCAGATGCAGAATCCAGCTTCAGGAGGTCTTGACGCAGGCTAGTATCAGTCGCTCGAGTTAGTTTGTGCGTGTTTGAAGGAGGAGGCAGGCTCTATACCTTCCATCCCAATGAGGTAAGACAGTGAGAAGCTGAGAGTGTGGGTCAAACACTTAAATCATAAAATCATATGTGAACTGTGAGCTTACCAGAGTTTCCTAAAAGCAAATGAAAATAGGTTGCTCTTTATTCTTCTTTTGCTTCTTCATAGCTCCTTCTTCTAAAGAAAACCTACAAAGCACAACTTCTACTATGTCAGAACTTGTCTAACAAGCAGCAGAATCCATCCTCTTTGGAATGTCTTGGGCTGAGAACTAAATGTTGAGAAATTGACTCCTAGGATTTTTTTGAGCCTTTTGTTTTAAAAACTAGAAATTCTAGCAAGAGAAATGTCCAAGATATGGCACGTCCCTCCCTGTCAAAAGCTTTCCCTACAATGGGTGCAATTTAATGGCTCCTACTGGTCACTCAAAGTGATGATGTTGACAAGCAGAAGCATGAAACTGCACAACTAGAAACTGCTGGTAAATGAAACCTATGAAGGCTTGATAGATGCTAAGTGATAATTTCATTCCTGGGCCTTCAACACCAAATCAGGGGCCTAATAAAGTATGAGAAGAAGACTATGTTCAAGACTCTCCCCTAAGGGGAAAGACCCGGAAGGTCTTCCAGTAAAAGACCTCCTTCCAGTACTGACCAAAATCAGTAAGAGCTCCTAGGACCTGTAGACCCTTCTCAGGCAGCACATGGGAGAGCAGTATGGTGATAGGGGATTCAGAAGCAGCTGGATAATCAGCATGGGCAAATATCTGATCTAGTTAAAGATCATCTATATTCTTAATTTTCTCAGTAATAGGGAAATGCAGAAATGGATGGTCTGCAAAGCAGTGATAATGATATCAAGATATAGTTAAGTCACTGTTTAGGTGATAACTTTAAAAAACTAATCTTGGTAGTTCCAATGATTTTTTCTGTTTTCAAAGTTCTATACATTTTAAGATTAGACTGAGTTTAATTTTGCTCTTTTTTATTCATCTGTAAACTAACTTATCTACACTCAAGTAATAAACTCAATGGATTTCTTCTAGCTTCTACTATGTATGCCGCGGGCATATTTTTAATATATCCAGGGATCAAATGAACTATTACAAAACAATGCATTTTGTGACTCGGCTCTATTTTCCCTGCATGAAAACCAAACTGCTGTGCTTAATATGGGAATTGAGTTTAGACAGCTGACAGGCAGTGAATGGCAGTATAATACCTGAAGACACATTTGTTTTTGCTAGTCCATGTCCAAACCGGAGGAGCTTTGACTTGTTATTGAACTTACACTCTAAATTCAGATTTCACAGACCCTTTGTTCCATCCACATCCTCTCACTTATCTGTTCTTCAAGGAGTAGCATTAAGAGTTCTAAGCAGCTAACCAGCAAAGAGATGAAATAAACCCGAATTTACTTTAGTGAACAGTTCCTTCCTGGTGGCATATACGAACAGCTTTGCAAGGATACAGTAACACTATTCAACCCTGGTTTCGTTTGTAAGTTTATACGTGAAGCCTGACTGCAAGGCTGCCTTCTTGACTGCACCAAGGGTTGGCAGCCCCACCTCTGGAACTAACGGCGGCAGCGACTATGCTGTTCTGATTCAATGGCCCCGATGACAAAAATTCACTTCATCTGTACCTTAAGACTTGTGACAGTTGTCTCAACCCTCTCCTCAAATGATTTGAAAGTAGGAGAATTCCTAAAATAACAAAAAAAGAGAGGTCAGCTCCAAAGACCTACCTGTCTTAGCAACTATGCTGTCTGATTTCTTCTCTTATAAACAGGTCTGCACCAGAGCCAGCTGACGGTTTGCCACCTACACCAGCCATGTTTTAACATATATTTCACTTCTGCTAGGTTAGATCCAGAAACTAAAGCTTGACAAGGAATTTTTCTAAGTAAAATAGTCAGATACTTAACTGTGGAGTAATATAGCATTTGGCAATGGTACACATGTAATAATTCTATCCTGTACCCTGAGTCATTATCAATGAGTCAAATGAGTTGCTATCACAAAACTTTTTCCCAGCTTTCTCTCTCTCTCTTTTTTTGGTAAGCATGCAGAGTTTATCTAAAGAATGTCATGTTTGAGTTTTCCCACTTGGAATTTTAAAGTTATTTATTTCAGTGAATGTGAGACAAGACAGAAAAAGCTCAGAAAAAAAAAAAAGTTTATAAGTTTTTCCTTTCCATGCCTTCAAAAGTAATCATTTGTTCATCTTCCAAAAAGCAGTGTTTTTGAAAGCCAATGCTTTATTATAAGCTGAAATAGTACTTGTCTAATGTTTGGTCAAAATGGTGTTATTAGCATATGGTATTTTTCCTTCTGAAGAGGATGTACCTACTTGTTCTCTTACCGGAGAGAATCTTCACAGTCTATTGACATTTTATTTGTGACTCATCATTGGGTGAAATGACCTCTATACCATTTGTAACTATAAGCATTAAATAATTTCATTTGGTGCTTTTTGGTTTCCTATACTAAATTTGGCCATGACATGATTTAATGACATTACCATTAAGATTAATATCACCAAATCCAACCAAAGAAACAAGAACTGAACTAAAAAATTCATCTTAAATCTTGTATCCATGTCAGCTTTCAGCAACAAGGATTGCCATCATTTCCAGATCAAATAATTCAGTTGAGCCACTCATTCTGTCTTGAGTGCAGATAAAATAAAATAAGAGGAATGGCTTGGAGAAACTTCAGAAAGGAGAAAGGCGAGAAAGGCTATAAAATATGGGCCTCATTGTGTGGTGTGGGATGAAACATTGCTCTAATACTTTTGGGGGAGTGGTGCAGTAATGCAGAGGACGTTTTTGAGCAAATTTGGCTTTCTTGGGGATTGTCTCCTAATACTCTGACATGCCAGATGATCAGAAATGCATTGCATTCTGACTGCATGAATTCCCAGCGGTGAGATCAGAATGCCTGAGCTTGGCATCACATCTTGTATTTGATTCAAACACGAGTCAAATACCTATGAATAATCCTCTGCAATACCTGTTTCATTAAGAATATTCATGAAATTATACTTGAATGACTCAAAAGTAGACATTTATTGGCATCTGACCTCCACTGCAAGTTCTATTGGCCAAGCCTGCTCACATGACAATTGTCATCCATCAGTTACATTAGGCCACAGTGGGCAGATAGTTTGTCTAATGGTTCATGGGTATATGTTAGATGAGCAAAATCATTTTTCTTTTAAAGTTAATCTCAGGCAAGTTTTGAAGACTGAATTTGACCCATAAGCCACTATCTGGACTCCTGGTTCACAGAGCAAAATTATGTTAAATTTTTACAATCTCTAGACTTAAATTTGGCAAGTCAAGGAGCTCAGAGCCTCAGTAACTGCTCAGTTTGGCTCTTTTTATGCTAGGGGGAGCAAGTCACTCAAGTACAAAGTAAGCAATCCTGAATCTATGCTCTCCACCACCAAATTAGAAAAATTGAATACTGTTATTAAATTCCCAGAGAAACCAAATAACCCCAGTGTAGAAGAGACATCTAGGACATAATAAAACAGGCATTCTTCTAATTAAATGACAGTACAATACACACTAGAGAACAGGGAGCAACTGTTTACTCAGATTTAATCATATCATATACAACTACAAACTTTTAGCACTGCAAATGACCCCAGAAAGAAATTGCCTTTGGTGCTCTCAAACTAATTAGAGTAACTGAACCCCCTGCATAATGTAATCACACCACAATATGTGATACAAAGCAGGTATCACACAAAGCACTTAGGCCCAGTTCTAAGTGAAGTGGGGGAGGGTCCCAGGGCCTTGATTCCAGTCTCCCACCATCACCATGGCAACCCAAGGCAAGCCCCATGGGAAAGCAGTAATCTGGTTCTAGCCTCTTATTGTAAACCTGATGACACTGATATTATAGAAGTGAGTTTTCCAAAGTTGCAAAGTTCATTCTTGGCAGAGTTCACTTGCAACCTGTATCCTCTAATTCGTAATCTAATGTTCACTCTACATTCTGTGACTATTGGCTTGATTTTATCTGACTGTATCAGAAAGTCAGGCTAACTGGAATCAGAGAACATCTTTCTCAGTTTTTATCTAGCCAGTAATTTTAATGACATTTTTATTGTTCAACAGATACCTCACATTAATTTATATCTTAAAGAATCCTAATGATATCCTTTCTAAACCTGTAGCCCTCCTAATCTCCTGTCCTTTCATTTCAACTTTCTTCCAGGCTTGCATTTAATTCCAGGAAAATAAACATATTTCCACCTTTGCAAGTGTGCTCAGAATGTTCTGGGCCTTGTGCTAAGTGCTTTACACAGGTTACTTTGTTTACATCTCACAACAACGATATGAAGCAGCTTTTATTTCTCCCAGTATACAGGCAGGAGAATGAAGACTGGGGTATAAATAACTTATTCCAGGGCCCAAGCTCATTGCACCTACAATACTTTTACAGAATTGTCACCCTTTTCTCCTGAGGACCATCAGAAAAGAAAATTAAGTAGGTCATGGCACTTCCTTTCATATAAAGAAGGAGAAAAAACACACACAAAGTAAATATCAATAAAGTAACACTTCATACATCTTCTGCATTGATATTACATAAAATAATTGACACACGTTACCTCATAGCAGGCATACTTATGGAGTGGCGGATGGAGTAGCTTCAGGGCAAAAGCAGATTAAAGGGAAGGAAAGAAAGAAAAAGAAGATAGTACAATATAAGTACAGGAGAAACTCCCTATTCACACTTCTAAAACAGCAACCTCAACTATCTGAAGTATCTGCTGTCACCCCACCAAGATGCTGTTTGTTTTCATTGGATAGCATGGGCCACAGTTGATTCCAAAGGTATGAAGGAAGAGTAGGTGGTCCATAACTGCATAGTATTTTACTTCCTGTGGGTTCCCTGTAGGCCAGGAAGTCTGAGGAGAATGGCTGGTTTCCTCCAGGTCAGCCCAGTGGTCCCTGGGCATCACCTGAAGATCCAGGGGGCATCCACCCCCTTCTCCTGGCCAAGAAGAAGGAAGGGCTTATGCAGGAAGTAGAGCTGGACAGGTGAAAGTGAATTGTTCATTGTAGAGAAACCCTTCAGAGGAATATATGTAGTTAAGGTGTCAGGCAAACACAGTTCACGCAGTCAGATATGGGAGCAGGGACTTCTGCATCTGTTCCATATCATCAATCCAAATATCCACATTTCTGAGAACCCTAAGACTTTCGGCCTTCTCGCCCTGTTAATCCAACAGCAGCCGACTCACTTTCCCTCTGATTGATTACCTACAGTTTCTGTGTTTCACTCAGAAACCAGGCAGGGTGGAGGAACAAGCCAAATGAGGTTCATTTCCTGGGCCGGTACACAGTCCAACACCACCCCTGCTTTCTCTACTCCCAAGAAGCTAACTGGGAAGGGACCAGACTCATTGCCCTTCCCCAGCAACATCCACTGAGGTCATTAGCATGGGCAGCACTTGATGAGAACACAAAAGACAAAGGACAAAGAAATTCAGGGGATACTTACTGTCCTACCTTGGACACTCCATTTGGAAACTATAGGCAAAATATTTCCTCAGAAATTACATTTCAAAAATAATTACGAAAAGAAATCCATCAGCATAATCAACCTATTAATCTCTTTAAATATAGAGAGTTTTCTCAGAAAAACAAATTCCAAAAAGTATATAATGAGATTCCAGCTTAAAAAAAAAAAAAAAAGCTTAATTCACAGCACACTTCCTAGTATACGTACTTCTCCAGTAACTTTTTTCCTCTTCAATTTCAGAAGGTACAGAAAATTGAAGATGAACCATCCCCAAGTTACAAGATGTTCAGAAAAACATGACAATCTAGAGAAGATAATTTTCTGTTTCTTGACCTTACTTTCTCTAAGTTTTATAAAAATACACAGCTCTCAATATCCACATTCCTTTTTTTCTTCTCTGTTGAGGAAGGACCTCTGCTAATATAAAAAGAAATGATGCAGAAAAAGAGACTTTCCAGCAAGAGAAACCAGCATAAATCATCCAGAAATGAGATAAATAGGTAAATTCAAATGCATTAGGTGCCCTATAGCCTGTGACTCCCTGGCCATGAACACTCTCGGGAAAGGAGATGCGGTTTTTGGCTGAGGCACACCCACAGTGCGGAAGGAAGAGAGCTCTGGGAAGGAGGGACGGGGGGGGGGGGGGCCCGCAGGGCCCGAGGCAGCGCTTACCCGATGGAGTGAGACCTGCAGCCAGGGCAGCACAGGGGAGAAGGACAGGAGCAGAGTTAGCACATCAGGGTGGAAAGAAACACCACACAGGCCATTGTCCCCTCTTCCAAGAGCCCCAAAGCAAATGGTAATTCCATTCATCACTTTTTCAATCTACTAACTTTTTAATGTCTTATGTTACCAACTTGTAAGTGTGCTTCTAACTATTATTCTCATGGATATCTAAGGATGGTGAAATTCTCTAACAAAATGATGTGCCTCCTCCAAAGAGAACAGCACGAGATCAATGGCTTGCTTTTCTTCAAAGTACTTTCACAAATGTGACCTCATTTTAACTTCACAGGGAACATTTTAGTTAGGTAGCTTTTAACAATGTTATTTTATGGATAGAGGAGACCCAGTAATTCCATGACAGGGCTAAGGGACTTCACTGAATAGTAATCAGGTTAGAATGAAAATCTCAGTTTTGGAAATATTACTTCTTTTTACAAAACATAAATTAAATCCCAACATAGGACTTTTCATTCAATTACAAAATGGCCCAAATTCTAGGTTTTCAAAATCTGTACATATTAACTTGGAATTATTTTAAAGAAAAGCTAGAGGTACTGTTTTTCTTCCCAGGTATCTGAACTTTGTTGGCAATTTAAAAAATAAAATTGGAAATTTGTTCTCAGAATGCACAAGTGAATTTTATCATCTAACTAATAAAAATATAGAATTATATACTTTTAAAGTAAAAACGGATTTAAAGCAACATGTTTGCAATAAAATTTAAAACTTCCCTCACTGCTATTTTATAAAATGGCAAATTAATTTGAACAAAAAACAAAAACTTATTAATTGTTTTCACTTAAGAATATTTATTAAACTTAAGCAATTTTCAGATATGACTTTTACTTATATTACTTCTTCTTGCATAACTTAAAACTAAAAATCCTTTGCAAAACATGTTGCTTTCACAAAGATTTATCCTCATTTATATAAAATGTTATATGTTATAGTTAAAGAAAAATGTAGCTCTGGAAATATAGGTCTACAAAATAGTACCGGACCATGATCTGCATCTCCAGGAACACAGGTTACATTTCCCAATATTAAACTAGTCACAGTTCATAATGCAAATGTTGCATCCTCTACATGGGGCAATAATTAGCAAAAAGTTTAGAACTCCTGAAAAACAGGTTATCCATTACACTAAAATAAAGCCACACAGTAACAGGAGGAAAGGCAGTTAACACAACCTTGATATCGTACCCAATTAGTGTATGAACACGAATATGTCAACATATTGCATATGCAAAATACAGTATCTTTTCCTTACTACTTAGAAAAACAATGAGCAGAGCCTTTACGAAATACAGAATGCTCCTCTTAATGGATTCTTTCTCATTTCCTGCCAGATGGGGCCACTTTGTCACTGAGATGGTCACTTGGTCAAGATAAAAACTAGCATTGATGGAGTGCTGATACATGGCAGGCTCTCTTCTGCTGCTTTTAAAATAACTTGACATTGTTACTCTTATTCTGATTTCATAGCTGACAAAACTCAGGTCCACACAAGCTAAATTACATCTGGCTTCCTCACAACCTGACCATTGAAGTCGAATCACCTGGGACCATGTTACTAAAGCAGATTTCTAGGCTTCACAAAAGACTTACTGAGGCTCAACCTCAGAGAGGTGCAATCTGGAAACATGTATTTTAAACAAGATTCAGGGGTGTTTATAAGTCCCCTCAAAACACTGAGGTCTCAGTATTGAAGTGAATGATTTAAAGTATGTGGAGAATGAATTTTATAAACATGGCAAAATCTATTTTCTTGGATATAACAGAAAATAGGGTCTTTGTTATGTAAGAAATTATTTAAATAGTTTAGATAAATGTTTTAATGCCACTGAAATTACTGCAAATTTTATTTGTAATTAAATGAAGATTAGTTAATAATCCAGAATGTTTACCTGTTAATCACATGCTGCTATGAAGAATTTCAATGGCTTTCATTATTGCGTTATTAGTAAAAATACTCAGATTAATGTACATGTAGTTACCTAACTCTAGCCTCACAAATGCCAAGTTGTTAAGATGGTGTGTTAATATTGGGCACAATCTAGCAATATTTGAAGCAAAAAATAACTTAAACACAAAGATATACATATTTGCCTCTACGTATCAAAGCTGCAGGGTAATAAAAAATCAATAGTTTAAGAATCTGGTGAAATAATACACATAGATCTTTTTAAAAGAAGCACTTTTAAAATGTACTTCAAAAGTTTTTATACAATAAATTTTATTTCTAGAGAAAAATGGAATTGTTTTATAAAGAAAAATTTCATAGCCTGGCCGGTGTGGCTCAGTGGATTGAGCATCATCCCATAGACTGAGAGGTCCCAGTTCGATTCCCAGTCAGGGCACGTGCCAGGGTTGCAAGCTTGATCTCCAGTAGGCAGCGTGCAGGAGACAGCCGATCTATATTTCTATCTCTCCCCCTTCCTCTCTCTCTAAAAAAATCAATAAAAACATATTTTCTATAAATCCCATAAGTATTTCAGCTAAATTAGAAATAAACTATGATAGGTATTTAAACAAGCAAAAACCAGTAGAGTAACAATTCTATATAAGATAACTCCTTAGCACATAATTTAAAACATAATGGTCAATATTGCAATGCTTTTCTGGTGACTATAGTGAGGACATTTGATTCTCAGTTCAAAATCTTGATGTTCACCCTAATTTTATATGATAGTGAAATACTGAAAATAACCAAAATGTGCAAGGAGTCTTCCAGCTATACACTGGAAGATAATACAGCAATTAAAAATGAAATTGTAATAGATATTTATTAACATAGTCACAATATTGCTAAAGTGAAGGGAAAAAAAAACGACCGGAAATATATACCATATGGTACCTTTTTGGAGTAAAATAATACATATGTATTTAGCATAGAAAAAATACTAGATAAATGTATACAAAACTGTAACTAGAATAGTTTCTCAGAGCATATTCCACTGAATGCATATTTTAACTTATTGTTTAAATTATAATAATTAAAATTCAGTGTATGCTGCATTCTTTGGAAATCCCACCTCATTGCTAGTGATTAAAGACATCCTCTATCTTCTATTTTCACTAGGTCAGGTCCTAGTGGTAAAGGCACCTTTGGGACCAGGCCTGCCACTAAGCTGACCTTCAGTCAGAAAATGTCCTAATATAAAAATGTATCTCAGTCACCAACCACTATCTGCCACATAATATTTTAATCCAATAATGCAAAACAAGAATATGTTAGGAAGACCAGCCAATAGATACCCCCCGCCCCCCGAAAGCCAAGGCTTAGCACCATTCACGCGGTTCTCTCCCACAGTACCTCATGTCTCCGAACTTCTTGCTGATGGCTGTCCCAACATTGCTGAAAGCAGCCGTGGCCTTCTGCCCTGCGTGGCTCAGGGTTTCATGTGTCTTCTTGTAGCTAGAAGTAAAACAGAACAACAGTTTATATATCACGATCACCCATAAAACATTCTTCATCCATCTCTCTTCTTACTTTGAAAATTCCCTTTCCTAAACAGATCTGGGAAGAAGACGAGCCGCAGAAATTAGTGTTTCTAGTCATCGTTTGGGAATGATGGGTGGGCTGCCGCTCATTAGAGGGAAAGTCAGAACATTAAATCTGAATTCAGGAAAAATACAGCTTCATATGTAGCATAGATCTGAATGTGCAGATCTTTAATCACAAAGAGTGAAACTGTTCTAAGAGTAGAGTCATCCTTAAAGAAGTGTATTATCACCCAGCTGGTGTGGTTCAGTGGATTGAGAGCAGTCCTATGGACTGAGAGGTCGCCAGTTCGATTCCTGGTCAGGGCACATGCCCAGGTTACCGGCTTGATTCCCAGTACGGGGCATGCAGGAGGCAGACGATCAATGTTTCTCTCTCACATCGATGTTTCTATCTCTCTCTCCCTTTCTCTCTCTCTAAAAAAAAAAAATCAATAAAAACATGTTTTTTAAAAAAGTGTATTAACTTTATGAAGAGACACCTGTCAATGAACAAGGTAGGCATCAATGGTAACACTGAAATTTTTAAAAAATGTATATTTCAAAGGGAAATGTAAGTTTTACCTATTACTGTGGGTAAAACTGGCCACACAAAGACAAATATAACTAGTATTTGAGTTACTTATCTAATACTTATATCTGCGAATAAGAAAGACATAGAATTTAAGAATTTCAAGAACAGTTTTAGGAATACAGTACTGCAATGATCTATCTGTTCACAGCCTATGCCCCCACTAGATTGACCCTTTGAGGATCAGGAAGCCATTCATCTTTGGGTCCCAGTATGTGGCAGAGGGTCACAGGAGAAACTCAGTAAATACTAGATGAATGAAGGGATGATCAAAGAGGGTGCCCCCCTGGCCCTGAATGGGGACACGTGGCAGTAAGAACAGAGAAGGTGGTGGATCAGAGAGGGATGCACAGACCTGACATGAGGCCATAAGTGGCAACCAGTCAATGTGTCTCTCTCATGTTGATGTTTCTCTCCTCCCCCCCCCCCCCACTCCCTGCCGCTCTATCTGAAGATAAATGCAAAAAAATGTCCTTGGGTGAGGATAAATAAAAATTCAGCAATCATTTTACAGGAAGGTACTTTAGAGCATAAACATTTCTATATTATGGGATTTAAAAGATACTAAAAATATTTAGGCTTATTTTTTTCCCCAAAGTTTCTCTACACAGGTTATCAAAACATAGATATACCTCTTGAATCTAGGGGAAAAAAATCTACTTCAGGCCTCGCGTGATGAGATGAAAGCTGGAAGGTAAGAAGAATGAACGACTGTGAGAGGGTGGCTATGTGCATCTTTGAAAACCAGGTCTTTAATCTTCACTGGCACTTCTGAACTCAACGGTGTGCCAACAGGCTCCTCATAAAAAGATAATAATCCTTGCTGACCATAATGGTCTGGAAATCTTAGAAGCACAAAATCAAAGAGTAAATAAATCATAAGCTAAACTTCAATTTTCAAGCACTGTGTATTTTTTTTTTTTTTTTATGCTGAATGTTAGAATGTTGCTCCTTCTTCTAAAGGATAATGTTATTAAGCTTTTCAAAAGATGACATTGTTTGAATTCCTTTCCAAAATCTTCTCCCCTTTGTAGACCTAGCAATTGGGCAGTGGTACAACTCAGAGGGGCTTATTAGTAGGAGAATCTCATGGGTTAGCAAAGGCTGAACACTTATTAAAACGAAGCACGCCGGATTAAATGGCCCACCACAATGCTGCATTTCTGTATCCCTACTCCTTCTATCTATAGAGAAATTCAATATCTCCTCCAGTGGCCTCCCCACAGCTAGACCCCAAAGCCACACACATCCCCCATGCCTCCTTGAAGCCTAAAGACAACAACAACAACAAAAAGCAGCAAAGATCATTAAAAAAGAATAATAGGGGAATATTTTGTGTCTGCTTAGATTCTCTCAAATCAAGGCAGATAAAAAACTATGACAAAAACAGCAGCAACAACAAACACTGGACACAGGCGATGTCTTGACCTGCCATTGTATGGTTATCTTTTTAGAAAGGAAATAATTTCAGTCTGCTCTGTAATTATTCCAACTCACCCAGTCCTATTACCAATTTGGATCCTACCACAGACTAAAATATGCCAAGATCTTTCATTACCACACCACAGATTTTCTTCTCATTATAAATCAAACTAAATAGGTCATGATTGCCTAATCAGTATGCAAAGTATTGCCTCTGGTAGTCACTGGCAATTCTCTGACAGCTAAAATTCTTTTTAGTGCTTTAAAATCTAATTCTACCCACCCAACCCCACCCCAATTCCCTCACATCAAAATGTTTATTGGATGAGGGGGTAGAGCTTGTCCTGGAAGGAGTATCATGGACCCTAACAACAGGGATCTAATTCATTAATGAAGAAAATAGATTCTGTTATCCCCCTCCATCCCAACACATGATTAAGACTTTTTCCCTTCCGTCAGCAGCCAAAAAAGAAAAGGGTGGGAGGAAGCTGCTCTCCCAAAATTATACTGTTGGTAGGTGAATGCCTCCCTCTTAAAAAAGGGATTGATTCTTTCCTACAAAGCAAAGTTCATATCATCCCTAAAGGTTAGTGAATCCACACTCATCTGTATTTATAAAATGATCTCTGAGGAAATCTCATCCAGTCCTATACCTTTCAAGACTTTAGTATGCAGATGACTCCCAAATATTCATCTCTCTCCTTGACTTTTCCTCCAAGTTGTCCTCTTGGTCTATAAACTCATTTCTCTACTGGGTATTTCAGACTTCATATAGCCAAAACACATCTTGGGTCTCCCCAACAGATCTGTCTCTATCTTATCCAGAACAGTGAACATGCCTACGAAGTGTCAGACATGGTTCTATATGCTACACAAATATTAACTCATTGAATCCTTACTTCCTAGGAAATAGGTACCAATATGATCTCAATATGCAGATGCAGGAAAGCCTAGATTTCAGTCCAAGCCACTGGAGTCTACAGTCCATGCTCTATTCCCATCATTCCCACCACAACGCTATATTCCCATAGCAGTAAACAGTGCCCATACTTGCCCAGTAGCCCAAGTCAAAGACCTAAGAGTTGCATTTGATCCTTCTATTTCCCTCATCCCCCACCTCCCAACCACTAGGAAATCTCATTGGCCTGGCCTCCAAATCCTGTCCCCTCCCTGTCCACAACTCTCCCTAACCATCATCACCACCTGGACTATGGCAATAGCCTCCTAAATGACTTTCCAGTTTCCACTCCTGCTTCCCCACAATCCATATTCCACAAAGTAACTGGAGTGATCTTTCTAAGAGATAATTCAGAACAGGTCACTTCCTGCTTCAAACTCTCTAACAGGATCCTGAACCCTTGGAAGAAAATCTCCACTCGTCCCCATGGCCTGGGAGGCCCCAGAGGCTCTGACCCCTCTCGTCTCACTACATTGCAGACACAGCAATTTCTCTGGGCTCCCGAAACCTGTAAAGCTAGTTGTGGCCTCAGGGTCTTCGCAGAAACCTTTGCCTTGGCCTGAAAGCTCTTCCTCAGATCATCACGAGAGGATGTTTCTCATCATTGAGGTCTCAGCTCAATGGGACTCACTGGTACCCAATGCCAGCAGCTTCTCCCCTGCCTCCATCTCCCCCAGTAGAACACCACCCTACACTATTTTCATCATAGCACTTCTTGATATTTCCTTATTTGTTTATTGTATTACTTGTTTGCTGCTCCTTTGCCTTTCAGCACCCAAAGAGAGCAGGAACGTATTCCATCTTTGAAGCCTATATCCTGTGTGTTTAAATTAGCCTCTGGGTAATAATGCCTAGGAGTAGACACTCATTAAAGTTGTTGGATGAATGAACTGTCAGGACCCCTTTATTAGCTTTCTGTTGCCTGTGGATAAAGAATAACTCTATTACCAGATGCTGCAAGGCCCCTTCTCCTGCCATCTCCACAACAGTACGTAACCGGATTGCCTCCCCCAGGAGGCTCCTCCGGCCCCCCCGGCTTGAGAATCCCTCTCACCCTTCAGAGTTCTGCTTAAACATCTCTTCCTCGGGAAGCCTTCCCTGGGACCCCAGCAAGGTTCAATCTGCTTTCCAACCCGACAATACCCTGTATTTCACACTTATCTTTTCACATGTAATTTGTAGTAACGTAAAAGATAAACAAAAACAAAAGCAAAATGCCGTTTTCACGAGCAGACTATAAACTCCATACCCCAGGGAATACATCTATTCTATTCATTCAGCATAAACTGGATACCAAGTAAGATGCCTGAGTATAAAACCAATTTGTTTTTCAAACATGGGAAAAATACAAGCTACATGTTCATGTGAAGAGGCCAAAAGCCTTCCTGGAACCTGCCTGCTCCAATTCCATGTCTCAACAGGACTATCAGTCTCTCTCCTCACTGCCCCACCTCCCACCCTGCCCCCATCACACCTTCAGCAAACTTGAGGCGCCCTCTGCCCATCTCCCTCCCTCCCTTCAGCAGCAGAATAGCCTGGCCCTGCATTTGGTATTTCATCCCTGCACGTGGTTAGGAAGGCCGAGCAGAAAGATCCAGCCTGGTTCTTACACTCAGAATGAAGTTCAGGCCAATGTGACATGAAGCCTCAGACCTGGATTAAATACAGAGGTGACCAGACCCTAGGAATTGGAGATTGTTCTGCCTCATGTTGTCAGGACCATTCATTGGTATAGGTCACCAGAGTGCGAGGACATAGGCCAAACTACTAGCAGATCAGCTCATTCAATTTATTGCTTAAAATCTAGCTGTGCTTCTCAGGAGACTCTTCCTATGGTGTTGCAATATGTATTTTAAATGTATGACATTAATATGTGGTGTGTTAACCTCTTCTATATTTGTCCTTACCAGGTGGGGGAAGGTCGATTAGCCTCTGCAGATAAACTGCTGGGCTCCCTGGCTCCATCCTGCCCTACTCTGTGCCCTGACCTTGTCTGGATGAGCCTTTGGGGTGCAAGTATAGAAGCCCATAGGATTGCTAAGGTGTTATATGGGGGTAGAACATTCTCCTTCACCTGGGAACTAAAGGAACCGCAGTGGAGAAACAGTAGGCTCCTTTTGGATCCAACTCCTCAAACAAAGGGCACCTTCACCAGGAACGAAGGTCTTAGACCGTAGTTCTCAGGAGCCAGCAGGCAAAGTCGGCCCCCAGCAAAACTGAAATAATTGCCATCCATCACTGGGACCTCTTCCTACCACCAGGCCTCTCCGCGTCCATTTACAATTTTATGAGAAAACATAAAGAAAAAAGTATACGTATTTAACAAGTGCTTAAAAATATAGAACAAAGCGAAAAACATTTAAATTTGCAATCCCATAAAAGCAGTCAGGGTGGAAATAGAATTTTAGTGGACAAAGTTTAATGTCATAAAAAACTACTACTTTGTGGCGTATGCATCACATGCAATATTTGTAACAATTATTGAGGGTATGTTTTTTTCTACTTTTAGAGAAAGCATTTCTTTCTAACCACAGTACCAAGTCAGCCTTGTGGAAGAAGAAAGAGCGGCAGGCAGCGGGCTACGGGCCGGTCACCGACCTGCCAATGCACTTACGCGGTGGTGGTCTGCATGTCGTGCCAGCTTTTGCTGAAGTTCTGCTTCAACTCATTCATCAGGTTCATGCCGAGTTTCTGCTTTATCTCAATCAGGTGCCTTTCTTTCGCCGATAAAACTTGTCGTAATGTTGTAATTTCGTCTTCCAGCTACAAGTAAAAGGGAAGTGGTGGGAGAAGATGTCAGACCCGCCGCCATGCGCACCTGGCCAGAGGGCTCTGCCACAAAGCAGCCTTGGCATCCCCTGGCTTACCCAGCCCACGCTGGGCTACAGCACAAACATCCTGTAGAGGTGATAGGTTAATATTTAGAAATAGAAATAGATTTTAAAATTTTAAGGACTATAAAAGTAAACATTGATCCTTGCGAAAAATTTAGGTCTACAGCAAAATATACACAAGAAAATAAAAATCACCTGTATTCTACTGGGAAATAGCCCGTGACTTAAATTTTTTGGTTTCTAATCTTTGAAACATTTTTCTAAAATTGTACACAGAGTTAATTTCTGAACAAAAAGTTGGTTTTGTACTGTAGGCCTTATTTTTAAGTTTCTTTTCTTTATTGGTTGAGAGAGAGAGGGAGGGAGAGGGAGAGATAGAAACATCGATTGGCTGCTTCCTGCATGCCCCCCACTGGGAATCAGGCCCATAACCTGAGCATGTGCCCTGACCAGGAATCAAACCAGCAACCTCTTGGTTTGTGGGTCGACGCTCAACCACTGAGCCACACTGGCTGGGCGGTAGGCCTTATTTTATAAACAACTTCTTTTCGAGTGTCACTAGTCAGTGTTGCTTGTTTAGTTTTGGTCACAACACACAGCTGCATCGATACAGGCACGGATCTAGCAGGCGCTGATCTTACCAAGCTAGTGCATTAGGAAGGAAGGAACAAGGTAGGAGAGGATGTATGTAAAAGAGAGATTTGTGTTGCTTCTTCTTTTTAACAATTTTATTGACATGTAATGATCATACAATAAACTACGCACGTAAAGTGTACAAAATGTAGGTTTTGACATATGTATACTCCTGTGAAGTCATCACCACAATCAAAATAGTGAACATATCAATGCATCACCTTCAAAAGTTTTCTAGGTCCTCTTTGTAATTCCTCCCTCCTTCTCCTCATTCCCCCATGAAGCCACTGATCTCTCTTTCACTGGAATTTGTTTTGCATTTTCTAGAATTTTACATGGATTGAATCATACAGGATATACTCATGCTTGCCTTTTTTTTTTTTTTCACTCAACCTAATTACTTGAGATTATTTGAGATTCATTCCTGTTGCTGCATTATCAATGGTTTTTCCCTTTTTATGGCAGAGCAGTATTCCATTGTATGAATATACCACAGTTTTTTAATCTATTCACTTACTGAAGGACATTTGGGTTTAGCTAATGCAAATAAAGCGGCTATGAACATTCACGTACAAGGCTTTGTATGGACATGTTTCCTCTTTCAGCATTATACTATTGGTCTTGCAAATGTAATTTCTAACAGAGTTCTGTAAAACACCAAGATTTTAGAGAGTTGCTATATCCCATGAAAATAAATTGGAACCTTCACGAAGTTTTTGTTTCTAATTGGTTGTTGAATGTTATAATGTATTGCCCTTGTAGAATTTCTTAAAATTACATCTTTGTTTTCTAAAAAGTATAAATACTTGTGATTTTCTGTGTGAAGCCAGAAGAGAGTCATTAGGATTCCCTTAGCATTCCACAGGCATGGAGGTAACAAAAGCCTAACACCATACTATTTTTCTTATTTAAAAATAAGATGAGGGGAGTGCAGGAGGCGGCTGAGCAATGATGCGCTCTCACATTGATGTTTCTCTCTCTTCCTCTCCCTCCCCCCTCTCTAAAAATCAATAAACAGTTTTGTTGTTGTTTTTTAAATAATGGAGTAGCTGTGTCTCATTTACATTCAAAGTATCACCTACTTCTGACCACAAAGTGCATCACTAACCCCATCAGTCATTTTGCAAATGCATTCCTTGGGTCACCAGAGATACAGCTGCTAGAAAAGCACCTCAAGAAAGACATCTAACATTGCAAAAAGTCATCTTTCTAGGAGTGCAAGAATGATTTTGCCCCAGTGGTGAACAAACAGGAATAGTACTGTGAACATTCATATACACAAATAGTAACTTAAGCAAAACAGTCAGAAATATTGAATCAGTATTTCTGCAGATGAAATACTACAGTAGAAAATAACAGTATCTTGGGTTTTTAACATCAGTAAAGTGTCCTCATAATTTAACATTATCCATTTTTTACATACATGGAACATTTATTTTTATGCCCATGAAACTCTTTCTAAAATGAATTATACTTTCCATAAACATGTTATGATCAAACCTTGTGCTTTCTTTCTTTTATATTAACATTCTTTTTAAATTTTCTTTTTATTTTTCTATCTTTATTGTTGAAAGTATTACAGATGTTCCCCCCTTTCCCCGCATAACCCCCTCCTCCCTGCTCCCGGCCCACTCCTGCCTTCTCCACACTATTGTCTGTGTCCATTGGTTACGCATCTATGCATATATGTTCTTTTTTATTTTTCAATTACAGTTTACATTCAGTATTATTTTGTATTAGTTTTGAGTATACAGCATAGTGGTTAGAACTTTACAAACTTGTTCCCCTCAATATTCCCAGTATCCACCTGGTAGCGTACAGAGTTATCTATTGACTATATTCCCTATGCTGTAATCTACATCCCTGTGGAGCCTGTGTCTTCTTCAGTATGTGAACGTATACTCATCACTACGAAAGGATTACACCCAGAGACCACTAAAGGGGATAATACTTTTACTGTCTCCATTGAGTGAGAACACAGTGTTATTTAAAATATTAAATCCTTTTATTCTTTTGCTATCATTCTATTCCCCTTTTTCATCTTTGTTAGTGTGTCTTTCTGCATTTAATCTGCCTAATAACTCTTCAGGTTGACTACCCTTTACCAAAGAAAATGCTTTGGCTACATGTCAGCCTTTTATTCTATATTCGAAAGGCCTTTCCTGCTTTCTTTCAGATAAATATGTTTCGAGTGACTGATATTACTGGGAGTCTTTTTTATTGTTTTTGTTTTTAAATACATCAGGTATCATTATAGTTTTCACTGTGTAATAAAAACGGGAACATTATTAACTTGCAGAAAGAAATTATAGATTAGAGAAAGAGGTTTAACCACCTTGATATTCACAACTTCTTATCTATGGAACCCCAGAAATGTATTCAAAATTGGAGGGGGCAGTAGAATATTTATCATTTATTTGGGGAGAGTAAGTAAAAGGTATATAATTTTCTAATAAAATCCTCGATCCCAAATAGTGGGAAACAGTGAGGTGACCAGTTTACCAAATATCATCCTAAAGAAAGAAATATAAAGTCCCACATCTAATAATTTTTTTTTTTTTTAATCAAAGCACATGTTAAAAGGCATTTGTGGCAAAGAGACTTCTAAAGATGTATAACCAAACCCGGTTATTCAGTTGGGTTTATTCTCACGTTCAATAATGAAATTCTCTCCATTTCAATAAAATGTAAGACATTTTGTACAGCTTTTACTATATTTATCAGTGATCTCAATATATGCCAAAAATCTATTAAGCAGATCCCAGAAGTGAAAAATATATATATATAATCTTAAATTATATTAACTTGCAGGACTGAAAAAGTCCTGCCCTAACAGGAAGGTTTTCATCACCAATGCTTTAAATGGCAATCATGAGGAAATTCAATCCCTCATTTGACTAAGGAGATACTTTGGGTTACACCAGCGGTTCTCAACTTCAGTTTACATAAAATTCACTCAGATAGCATATTTAAAAAGCAGATTCCAGATGTATTCCCTTTTTGATGCCCTGAGATTCTGATGTGTTAAATTTGTTGGGGCCAGATGACATACATTATTTAACAAGCACCCCCAGATATTCTTATGCAGGTAGAATGGAAATGCTATATTGTAAGTACCTTGTAAGATATTGGAGCCCTTGTACATTGTTGGTGGAAATGTTGGTTTGGTCACTGTGGAAACCATCTGGCATTTTCTCAAAAGTTAAACATAGAATTACCTATGACCTAGTCACTGCACACTATTCTAGGTCTATCCCCAAAGAATTGATATTCAAACAAACACATGTGTATGCATGTTTATGACCGCATTATTCACAATAGCCAAAAGGTGAAAACAGCCCAAATATCCATCAAAGGAGGAATGGATAAACAAATTGCCACACACACACACGAATATTATTCAGCCATAAAAGGAAATGAAGTATTGAGACATACTACAACATAGATGATCCTCAAAAAACACTGGTGAAAAAAAACCAGACACAAAAGGTCATAAACTGATTCAATTTGTATAAAATGTCCAGAATAGGTAAATCTACAAAGACAGAATGCAGATTGGTGGTTGTGGTGAAGAAGAGAAAGTGGGGAGCAGATGCTTAACAGGTATGGGGTTTCTTTTAGGAATGATGAAATGTTTTGGAACTAGATAGAGGTGGTGGTTACACAACATTGTAAGTGTAAATGCTATTGAAATGTTCAGTTTAAAATAGTTAATTTTATGTTATATCAATTTATCTAAATAAAAACACAAATTAACTAATCCTGATTAATGATTAGCTTAATATGAAATTTATGAGAAGAATAAAAATTTACTTTTCTATATTACAAAAATATCTAACTTAAATTTAAAAAATAGAAATACTTTGACAAACTATTAACTAAGAGTATTTGATCTCTTGCACACAGGGCTTCAAGGCCTGCCTCTTCTCCTGGCTACTTAATCCAGAAGAACAAAGATTAAAATGCAGTTACCATCTGGGAGGGGTGGTTGCTTAATTTTGTGTCAACTTGACTGGGGCATGTGGAGTGTCCGGGCACGTGGAGCGTCCAGACATTTGGCCAAATATTATTCCAGGTTTGTGTGCTCCTGCAGGAGATTAACATTGAATGGGTAGGAGGAGTTGAGGAGATGGCCCTTCCAAAGCTGGTAGGCCTCACCCAAACAGCTTAAGGCCCAAGTACAACTAAAAAGCTGAACTTTACTCAAGTAAGAGGAAACTCTTCCTGCCTGACACTGCGGAGCTTTTTTTTCCTGCCGTTGGGTTCAAACTGTGCCATCAGCTCTTCTTGGGCTCACGATTGCCAGCCTTCAGACTGGAGCTACTACACCTTTGGTTCCAGGAGTCGCCAGCTTGCTGACTACAGATCCTACAATTCCTTGTAATAAATCTCTTTCCATATACATATACACATCTTTCTGGGTCTGTTTCTCTGGAGAACCCTGACTAATAAAGAAGAATGTTACAATAAGACACTACTGGCTATGAATACATTAGGTGCTTACTAGCTTAGTCCAGAAAGAACAAAGGTTTTGGAAGGAGGAACTGCGTCTGTGAGTCTAAGAGACAGGAGCTTGAAGGCACTGTGCATTCTTCCTGGGGAACCGCACATCCAAGGGGAGAAGAGCCAAGAGAGGATGGAGCGAGCCCGAACACAGGCTCTGTCTACTTTATAATGCTGTCTGGTATTTTCCCTAGTCCTATTAATACCCATTTTTCTTGAGTCATTTTATTGAGGGACATTGACAGTTTTTGATTGTTGTATAACACAAATTTATAGTCCCAATGCCAACACTTCATCCTTTTCAAAAGCCAAGTCACCTTATGGAAGACTAAGCGTAAAATGCAACTCAGTGAAATAAAAGTGGGAGTAGGATGTTAGTAGCACAGAAATATCGAGCAAGTTTATTTTAAAAAGGGAAACAGAGAAAAAGAAACCACAGAATAAAATGTGCAGAGACCTCAGAGATGTCAGGAACAACTGGTAACAAGGCGAAGGAGAACAAATCTCTGACACAATATATTTAACATATTGATAAGCTTGTAAAAAGGCATAGTCTACTTCTGGTATTTACAAATACAAATATTTCTTGGAACTATAAAATAATTCAAGTTAATCTTAAGTCTTATTGTGCACCTGCTATACACAAACCACTCACCAGATCAGAGCTGATATTGGTCACATATTGAAGGAGCTTTTATTTATTTCAATTTTTTAGGTTTTTTTCCCCCTTTTTTATTGAATTTATTGGAGTGACACTGGTTAACAAAATTATTCAGGTTTCAGGTGCACAATTCCACAACACATCATCTATACACCGTACTGTGTGTTCACCACCCCAAGTCAAGTCTCCATCCATCACCTTTATCCCCCCTGTACCTCCCTCCACCTTCTCCCACTGAAGGAACTTTTAAAAACACACATATTGAGTGGCTACAATCATGAACTAAAGACTAAATTGTGTTAACAACACATTTCTCTTTTAAAATGCAGACTTTGTCTAAGATGTAGCCTTTTGGACAATATTGGTTTGTTGCATGTCTCCCAGCATGAAGACAGGTCTTCCTATGGCCAGCACTTGGTGAGCACACAATATGTTGGTGGTGTGGGTGAATGAAATTGGGCGTTTCCCCCTCATCTACAGGGAGTCTCAGGGGAACATAAAGAACAGCGCAGGATAAACCAGTGGGGAGTGGTCCAGCAGAGGCAGAAGACAGCAAGGGAAGCCTTGGAAACCAGGGAGAGGAGCGTATTGAAGAGGAGACCGGACTCCTGGCACACCCAAGACCCCTTTTAAGCAAAGCAGCCAGAGGAAAAAGTCCTTGTACACAAAGGTCTGGCTTTAGATCATGACCAGAGCATATTGCCGGACTCAAAGATAATCTGATAGGCAGGACTGAGAGGTGCTCTGTTACCCAGGTGGCTCGCCCACTCAGTAGGATCTTTCCTCAGACAGAGAGAGGGACTGCTTGTGGCCAGGGGCCCAGCAAGAATGTTTGGAGAGTTGAGGCAGAGAAGTTGAGCTGTTTCCAAGCTGTCTCAGTTCCTCACGAGGCCAGATATGGGGCACTTGAGGTGGTTCTCTGTGTAGCCTCATTATACTTAAATCCTAGCACCTGAATATCTGTATGTTCTGAAAAGATCTGGTGTGTGTGTGTGTGTGTGAGAGAGAGAGAGAGAGAGAGCAGGTGTGTGAGAGAGAGAGAGCGAGAGAGAGAGAGCGAGCAGGTGTGCTCCCACCAGTACTTAGAGAACAGCATGGAAAACAGATCTAAGAAAAGGATGAGCAAAGCAGAGGTGGCTGAGCTGGAGGGAGGAGAAGGGGAAATGTGAAGAGGGAAAACAGCCAAGACTCACTTCCTTCGCCTCCCACTGGGCCTGGGCTACAGCTGTGCCCCTGGGAGTCGAGATGCTACCTTTGGCAAGATGCAACCCTTCCTCATGTCTGAGGAATCCAGGAAAGAGAGGCAGCAAGCATGGAGGCCAATGCATTCCGAGGGGGAAAACACGCATCCCGGTTACCTGAACACGAGGACAGGAGTCTGGTGTTATTCTCAGAAGTCAGGCTCAAAAAGTGTTAGGAATGAGATGCACTTATTAATGTGGCCAAATAGAAAGAAATTTCTGAAAGCATGGCTGGCTATTTATATTCATGGGGTCTCCAGGCTTGCTTACTTTTTCTTGATTATAAAATTAATACATACTCACTGTTGAACATCTAGAAAATATAGAGTGCACAAAAAACACATAGATATATGTGTGTATGTACAACCCAGTGATCCCAGAACCCAGAAAAAACAAGTCATTTTATAAAAGTTGGTCTGTTACAGAGATTGTATCTGAACTTGGACTAGTAAATGAAGGAGTTAAATTTTAGCATAGAATCAGTTAGCTTATACTGGTCTACAGAATATAACTTTTGGACACTACAATCGACATGAACAGGTCTGGAAGTAGAATTCCAGGCTTTAAGAAAATGTGGATCTGGAACATTCTCAGTCCAGGTTGACTGGCACCCTGGAACATGTGGCCCATCTGAAGTGAACTGAGTGGTTCTGGATGAGTGGCCACAGGCAAACCCAGCTAAAGAAGCAGACTCTTCGATTTGAGGTACTGTACTTACGAAAACAATTTCTGCTGCACCAGAGGGAAGAGCTGCTCTTTTATTTTATAATAAAGTTATTTTACGGTGTGTCTTGGGAAAGCTCCTGAAACATTTTCAGTGTTATGAACTGTCGTGAACACACACTGTCAGACACTAGAGCTGGAGGAGGCTGGACGAACAAAGCGGGCTGAGGGTAAGGTGGAGCTCAAGGCTCTGTCCCCAGCCTGCAGAAGGGGGCAAACCTTGCTTCCCCATGAACCAGGAACTCCCGGCCCCGAGCCTGGGATTCAGAGTGGGAAACGGATTCTGGCTTCACCCCTCTTGCCCTGCTGCTTATTCCACTTGGGAAGTTCCCCGTGTCCAGCCTTTTCCTGTTATAATATAATCACTCCTTAGCAAAGTGTTTAAGGTGCAGTAGGCGCTGCAAGCAAAAGGCTTGAACAGAGGGCCGTATTCGTGATGAGCCAAGCATCCTCCTGGTCTTTGAGTCCAGACACCCCAACAACTACCTAAGATCTAAGGAAGCCCACCTTCAGCTCTCCTCTCTCTCCCCAGAGCTTTATTCTTCTGCAAAGGAGCACACTACTCAGTAAATTCAGGTGCTCTATGATTGATTTTTTTTTTTTTATCCTCACCCGAGGATATTTTTCCATTTTTTGTACAGATAGAGTGGGAGGGAGAGAGAGAAAGGGAGAGAGAGAGAGAAACATCGACGTGAAGGGACACATCGAGTGGCTGCCACCCGCACGACCAACCAGGGCCGGGGACAAACTGCAACCGAAGTGCGTGCCCTTAGCGGGAACCGAACCCGGGTCTCTCAGGACCGCAGGCCGACGCTTTAACCGCTGAGCCAAACTGGCCAGGGCTGATTTTTTTCATTACAAAACTAAGTCATTTCAAAGTGTATGTCAAGCAAAGTTGCTGATCTAAAACAAGAATGACTCTCAATAAGCAGCTTGTACTTGCACTAAGGCCTTGACAGAATTCCACCAGGTTTGTACGTGGTTTTTTGTTCCCATGATACCGATACTAAAAGAGTAAGAGATGCATATTTACAGCTAATTATCATCATTGCTTAGCAACATAATCATTCATTTTCATACTGTAACCCACAAATAATGGACAATTAACATTACAAAAATCCCCCCAAATAAAATCATCTTGCAATATATCATTTATTAAGTTTTATTGAATAAAATATAATAATTATAATATGGGACTTATATCAAAGTAATATTAACTCTTAAGATCCAGACATAGACATAGCAACAAAAAGATTACTAAACATACCTGAACTAATTCTGCCTTTAACTCTTCCTTTTCCTCCTCAGAGAGTATGCTGGAGAAGTCAGCACTAGCTACTGCATCTTCTTCTCTTCCTCGCAATGGTTCAGTCTCCAACAAACCTTTAGGCAAGAGTAGTAAAACATAACGCAAATTTTTCAATGAAGAAACAAACAAAACAAAACAAAAACAGACTCATAGAAACAGCCTAAAGAGATGGTTGTCAGAGGGGAGGGGGCGGGGGGTGTGTGTGTGAAAAAGGTGAAGGAAAATATATTCAATAATATTGTGATAAGTTGGCTGATGTGATCACATTGTAAGGTATAAAAATGTCCAATCTCTATATTGTATACCTGAAACTATAAAAAGAATATTATATTGTATCCCAACTGTACTTACAATTAAAAAAAAAAATACAGTATAGGGAATATAGTCAATAATAATGTAATGTAATGCCAGGTGGGTACTAGAATTATCTATTGGGAGATCACTGTGGTAACTATATAATTGTCTAGCCACTATGCTATATACCTGAACCTAATAGATTTAAAAATTCTTAATTAAAAAAAAATTGATTTAATCAACTTGTATTTCCATAGTTTGAAGGACTGGATACGCTGACCCTCCCATTAAAAAAACAACTAAACATTTTTTTCTAAATGTGTCATGAGCCTCCAAGCAAATAATCAATACCAAGAAGCCAAAAAACTAAGTGAAAGTGGGAAGCCAGAGATGTAAACAAAATAAGTTTTCATTAATTCTCCATTTGCTACCAAAATGAATTCCAGCTTTGGTTTTCACTGGCTCATGGAGTTCAGGGGACAGAGAAAAAAGTCCAGGGCCACCCAAGGAGAGGAGTTTAAGGTGAGACCCCCTACACAAATCTGTCTCCATAGGGCTACACCCTGACAGTAAGGTGAACTGAAAATAAATACTTTTGCTCCCCATAGGGACCTGCAAGACAGACTCCCTGTCTTGATACTCAGCACAAATGGACAAACCAAAAGATCTCTCCTGAGAATGAATAACCTTGAAAGAGACTGTGTGTGTTTTCAACTTGAGTGCCCCTACCTGGGTGGTCCAAAGCAACCTCGGATAAGAATTCAGAGCATTAAGCCCTTTTTGCACTAATGTCACATATGGTTCTGGAGCAGCAGCAGCTGTGAGGAGACATCATCACAGCTACACTGATTCTGCCAGAGGGAAAATGGGAAGTGCCTGGGTGACATCATTGTCCCACAGACTGACCTGGCATAGTTCAACTTCTAACTTAGGAGAGAAATGCCTTAAAGCAGACTGGTGCAGCCACTATGGAAAACAATATGGTGTTACCTCAAAAAATTAAAAATTGAACTTCCATTTGACCCAGTGATACCTCTTCTAGGAATATACCCTAAGAAGCCTGAAACACCAATCAGAAAGAATATATGTACCCCCATGTTCATAGCAGCACTATTTACAATAGCTAAGATCTGGAAACAGCCCAAATGTCCATCAGTAGACGAATGGATTAAACAGCAGCGGTACATATACACAATGAAGTACTATGCAGCTGTAAGAAAGAAAGATCTATTATCCTTTGAGATGACATGAAGGGACCTGGAAAGTATCATCCTAAGCGAAACAAGCCAAACAGAGAAAAACAAGTCTCATATGATCTCACTTATATGTGGAATATAATGAACATAACAGTCTGAGGAATGGGGTAGTCCCAGAGATGTGGAAGTGGGGTACAGACTGACAATCCCCAGAAGAGGGGGTGGTGGGGGAGAGATAAACCACAGAACTTAAAAGAATGTATGCATGACCAATGGACATGGACAACAAAGCTGGGGACAGGGTGGGGGGAAGGGGGAATCAGCGGGGGGAAAAGGAGAGACACCTGTAACAAAAATAAATTAATTAATAAAAAATAAAATAAAATAAAAACAAATTAAAAAAAGAAGAAGAAAGTTCCTGGTGGAGTCCCTTAGCATCTGGCCGACTCAAGTGCATGTGCTCTCTGGAGGGCCAAGGAGACCGGTCCACTCAGATGTAGCAGCTTCCTTTATGACATGAGTATGGCCACGCTGTTATTTATATGTCCATGTGGAAAGGAACAAATAGTCTCACAACAAATACTTATCTATATAGAAAAAATAAGATTGGACACCTTTGTCATTTAGAAAAATTGAACTGTAAACATTATAGAAGACAATATAGGAATTTATATTTATGAACCTCTAGGTAGGAAGGGATTTCATAAGCAGGACACAAAAAAAGGCAACTATGAAAGAAACAATGAATAAGATTTAAAATGTCTCTTCATCAAAACACTATATGGAATATGAAAAGACAAGCCACTAATTGGAAGATGGTATCTCCCACATGTATAACTATCAAAAAATTGGTTCCAAGAATATACAAAATCTCTACAAACCAATTTTTAAAATGTTAATAACCCAATAGAAAAAATGCCCAAAAGACCCAACAGATCCTTTATATGGAGAAATCACAAACAGTTAATAAACCCAAGGAAACAGACTCAACCTCATTGATGCTCAGGGAAGTACACATTAAATCATTTCACATTCACTCAACTAGCAAGAAGCGACATCATTGAAAGTTGGTGACTAAGTGGAGGATGGAAAGTCTCAACACTGCTGGCAAGAATATAAATAGATAGATGCAAATAACTTGGAATCTAATTAACATTATCTAAAAAGTTGAACATTTAAACACCCCACAATCCAGCAATTATACAATATCAGAGATCATTAATGAGAATTTTTCCTGACAGCAAAAAACCTAAGTCATGTGGAAGTCCATAAACAGGAGAAGCCATAAGAGTACCGTGGTGCATTTGCACAGGGAAGTCTGGGCAACAGTGCAATGAGTGAGCAATGGCCACTGCTGGGGCCTGGGAAGCTGGCCTGTTGTTGATAGAGGCCGAGGTTCAGGACATGACTACGGAACTGGCTGCGCAGGCACAGACCACGTTACCATTTTATAAGCATGACACAGCGAAAGCTTAGGAGGCATGCGCCATGCAGCCACACACACTACATGGATGAAACTTGGGAATAAGATACTGAGTGAAAAATACAAATTGCAGAAGCACACAATGTATGGTTCCACTTATATGAAGTCCCCAAACATGCAAAACTAAATCAAATATTGTTTAAGGGCAGATTTATACAGGAAATTACGGCAATGATAAAACAATCAGGACCATGGTTTGCTGGGAGGCAGGGTGGAGGGAGTGGGAAGGGGGAACCTACAGGACATTTCTGTGCGGTTCATGGTAGTGCTCCAGGTCTGGGACAATGAATTTCGGTGCAGGAGTATTCTCTATACTTTCAATGTATTTTGCAATATTCTTTTGTATAGTTAATATTATTATTCAATATAACAATTAAAATATATTTTGTCAAAAGAGAAAGGTAAATAATCATCCTACAAAATCAGAGCATTCTAGCTTTAAAAAGTAAAAATATGGCCCAATTTGCAAAGTTCTTCTGAAGCTGGCCTCACTCCCGAGTCCACAACACCCACATATTTTTGTCAGAGTCAGCAGTGTACCGTCAGCACCTTGTATTGCTGCTGATACCCTAACACACACCAGTGAACACGGCATCACGCTGACCCAAGTTCATCAGCTCCCTGGCCCTCTATGTACTCCAGAGAACAGTTTCAATGCTTAGTAACATTCTTTCTCATGAGTAATGCCTGTTTATTGCAGAAGACAGGAAAATAAAATTATCCAGTTTTAATTAAAATCACTTATTCACACCTCCTAGTAATAATTATCCTTTTGGTCCATCCTTACTCATTTCTTTATGCATATGTGCATATTTTCTTATATATTTTATATGCATATACTGTTGTGAACTCAAGTTATTTATTCATTCAATAGGACATCATGAAAATCCTTTATGTATAAAACCACATAACAACATGTGTGTATTTTTTACGATTGTACAGCATTTTGTCTCATGCACAAATGACAATTTATTCGGTTTATTGGGAGGCTGCGGTGAGTATCTCCCAGCCAGGTCGTTGGGCAGAATCTTGATGATTTCGTACACACTGTATTACTGAGTCAGAGGGCAGGACCTTTGAAACCCACAGCCTAATCATTCCCCAGAGAGAATGTGCCAGTTTCATGCAAACATCAGCAACCTAGGAGAATATCTCCAGTACAAGCATATAAATAAGTCATTTAAAGGGGGAAAACATGCTTATTTATTTCTGCTAGTAAATATTGGTGTTCACATGTGCCCAATGTAACTATAGTCAGTGTTCTAGGATAAATGTTTAAATCAAGAATCAGCAGCAATTCCAAGCACAGGGTTAAGAGATGAGCCTGGAAGGTAAGCTGCTCCCCACTCTGGGGGTTAGGAAATATATGGTAGGAATCTGTAAGCCACTCTGTTCTTCTCCCCAACTCAGCCTGGCCCTGGGACTTAGGGATATTGCTCACATTTAGCCAGAACCCAAATTCTCAAACTTCCCCTCTCGTGACAGTGTGAGAGGACATGTGCCAGGCAAGGGAACAGACAATAGTTACAGCTACTTAGACAGCAAACATTTTTAGCATCTTCCTATATTCTAGGAAGAACGTTCAAAACCCATCTTAACTGATGAACTGGGAGACTTCCAGTGAATTTGGGGAAGCTAGACCCGCACGGGCAGCTGGAAGCTTCTACTATCCGGCGGGGCGGGACATGAACTTTATAAAGTGAGCTATCCCACTCCTCCAAGCTGTCATGAATCTTTCAAAGTCTCACTCCCAGAAACCAGCCATTTCAGAGAGCTGCCTAGAGGCCAGGGTGCTAGTTAGTTCACCTCTACTTAGACTAGTTACCTTCTTTATTCTCATCTTTGAAATTATATGACAGTTCCCTATCTTCTTCTTCTACTGATGTATCTATCTCCCGGCTATATTCTCTTCCAGTGGGTGTTCTCTGAGTTACACAGTTCAGGACAGGGGGCCACGTTCATACAAGCAATGCTGTTCACACAAGGCCTGCTGTTTTCATCGGAAGATGCTCCCCTCACTGGGCTAGTGAAGCAGCAATCAAATCATGAAGTCAAAGGATAACTCCAGAATCAAAGGGCAGGTGGAAAGAGGCGCTGGCTA